GAGGTCCTTGAATCTGTATTTTTGGCAAACATTTCTAAATAAATAAAATATTTTGTACATATATGTGAAAGATGCTATTTTCAAATCTATAAAGATGCTGTTATTTGTCTATTGCTTCATTGACTCTCCATAATAGCTGTCAAGAGTTGGCAAGAAAACTGTCCAATCTCTAAAGACTGAAAGGGCCTTCTATCATGAAATGTAGATGAAGGAGACAGAATCAATATACAATATGACTTCAGAAAAATGAGAGAACATAAAAGCTATGTGGGACACCTAAATCCTACCAAGCACTAATAGGAATCCTAAACTGGGGATGGGAGAGAAGACAGGGCTCTGAATGTCTAAATGGGGCAAGAGGACAGAGAGTTATGGTGAAGTGAGACATGCATCTTAGCTGGACTGGTGACATTTGAGCTGAGAAGGTGCCAGCCCCAAGAGATGGTCTGAGGGAACTTCACTCCAGTCAGAAGAATGACTGCAAAGGCACAAGAATATAAAGGAGCTGGCTTGTCCTAGGGACAGCAAGACTAGTGTGGCTGGAACATGAGGAGTGAGAGTGAGAGCAGGAAGAAGTGTGGGCATAGGGTCTGTGGTCAGAAGTGGCTAAAGAGTTGGACTCATCAAGCATTCCATTTGCTTCCCCACACTTCCCACCCATTAGTCAACAAAGTCCAAAGTTGATCCTTAATTGGATCCATATGGCTAAATCTAGTCAATGGACCGTGGGCAGAAGTGACACTGGCCACTTCCGGGCCAAAGCAGAGGAAAACTAGCACAGGATAATCAAGTTGTTTCTTCCTTCCGATGACAGAGCCTGATGGTCAAAGTTGGCTGACTCACCAACTTGTAGCATGAAGTGCAATTGCCCTTATGAATCACACAAACTCTTAGACTGTGACTAAGAGAGAAATAAAATATGTGCTATTAAGTAAGCCAACCCTGACTAATATCACATGATAAAAAGTTTGGATTTTATTCAAGGGTAATAGAAAATCATTGGAAATTTTGAGTGAGAGAGTGATATCTTGCATATGTTCAGTTTTTTTCTTTATGGTGAAAACATTCAGAATCCCATGTGTTCACATGAGCACTTTTCTATGTGTAGAATAGGTCATGGGGAGGAGAAACAGGAGAACTCAGGAGACCAGATATAGATCTAAAGCAGACATTTTTATTCTAGCTATGAAGTAATGCTGGCCTGAAATTAGTGGTGCAGTGGAGAGGTGTGTAGGACTCAGGATATATTTTGGAGACAGAACTGACTGGACTGGTAAAAAAGACTCCAAGGGTTTGAGCATGAGTAACTGAGCAAAGAAAAAGGCAGGGCGAGCAGAGGTAAGGCAAGTAAGTGGGGTTCAATATTTTGATTTAAAAATATCTTCCACGGAATGAAAGAGAGAGAGATCAACTCATTTTATAAAGCTAACATAACCTTGAAACCCAAACCTGACAATGATATTATAAGATTCATAGATCCAAAAATCCTAAACAAAATATTTTTAAACCAAGTCTAGAAATACATAAAAATAAAATGCATCCTAATAAGGTTGGGTTTATTCTAGGAATAGGTTGGGTTTGTTCCAGGAATGCATGATTTAAATATATATATATATATTTGTATAATTCACAACATTAACAGATTAAAAGGGAAAAAATAATTTCAACAAATTCAGAAAATCATTTGATAAGATTCAATACTCATTCACAATGAAAATTTGCAAATTATGCATAGAAGAGAACTTCTTGCATCTAATAAAACTATTATAAAAACCAACTAGTACACATCATATTAATGGTGAAATATTGAAACTATTTTTCTTCGGGTCAGGCATAAGAGAAAGATGTCTTCTATCACCTTTTTCTATCCCTATACTGAAGATCCTACCCAGTACAGGCACCAAAAAGAAAAGAAAAAGGAGAAGGAAGAAGAGGGTATAGATCAGGAATGAAGACATAAAACTGTCATTATATATAGAAAACATAATTTTATCTGTGGAAAATTCTGAAGATTCTATAGATTAATAATTAGAATTAATAAGTGAACTTATCCAGATCACTGGATGAAAGTTGAAAAATTAACTATATATATATATATATATACATATATATATACCATTGATAAACAATGAGAAAATAAAAAATAAATGATAGTATTTATAATCACATCAAATTCCTAGAAAGAAACCTAAAAAATATACCTGGAAAACTATAAAACGCTCTTGAGAGAAAATAAAGGATGCCACAATAAATCAAGTGCTAAATCATGTTTCTGATTGAAAAATCAACATTATAGACAAAAAACTTTTTCACACTTGATCCACAGTATGAGTTGGATCCTAATAAAATTTGAAAGGAGATGCAAAGGGAAAGGTCAAGGATAACCAAGACCTAAAGAACAGCAAGAAAATTAACAGAAAACAAAACTAGTCATAAACTACAATAACTTCAACAAAGTGGCATTGTTAACAGATTAAAAAAAATACCAATGGAACAGAATTAAAAATTCTGAAACGGACCTATAAATATAGGAATATTTGATTTATGACCAAGGGGACGCTGAACACTAGAGGGGATAAAGTAGTGATTTCAATAAGTAGTGTTCAGTCAGTCGAATATCCACATGGACCCTTCATATCAACACCAAAACAAAATCCAGAATAACAGAAGCCACACTGAAATGTAAAGCAATAAAATGTCCAGATAAGAGAATATCTTTGGGGGGAACAAATTTCTTAAACATGACACGAAAAGCACTAATCAGAGAAAAACACTGATAAATTACTAGTGAAATAAAGACTTCTGTTCATCAAAAGATACCATTCAGAGAAAGAGAAGAGCTGCAGGTAAAAGGCTATATTGGGGGAAAATACATAAAACCAACAGAGGACTTTTAAAGAATTTATGTAAATCAGTAAGAGAGAGTATACAGTTGGGTGTGGTGGTGCATGCCTCTAATCCCAGAGTCAGAGGGTGGAGGCAGGAGGATCATCCTGGGCTACACAGCAAGACCTTGTCTCCAAAAAGCAAACAAACAAACAAAAGCATACAAAGAAATGGAGAAATGGTCCAGAAACTTAGAATAGACATTTTACAATTAAAGATATTATGGTCAAAAGCCAAAAAGGAAAAAAAAAAAAAACCACAGAAACAGAAAAGTTATTCAGCCTTACCACTCAACAGGGAAATGGCATTAGAACCACAATGCCATGCTGCTACATGTGTCCAAATGGCTAAGATAGAAATAAAAGAAAGACAGTGACAATGACTAGGGAGGACGAAAGGTGACTGGGACACTGCTGGTGGGAATGCAAATTGGTACAACCTCTAAGGAAAGTGTTTGGCAGTGTTTGTTACAGTTGAACATACATACACCCACTCCTAGATATATGCTCAAGAAATACATGTCAGAGCATATGTCCAAAGATGTCCACAGCAGCGCTACTTGAAATCACCCTACACTGGAAAGTGCCAATACCCGTTGATATTAGAACAAATGAATGCATTGTGATATAGTCACCCAACAGGGAGCTGTATGGGACTGGAGGTGTGGCTAAAGCCACAGAAAGCCTGCTTTGCAAGTATGAAGCCCTGTGTTCAAAACTCAGTCCCACCAAAAAAAAAAGAGGACTATATAGCACAAAAATGAACCAACTCTCTCTCTCTCTCTCTCTCTCTCTCTCTCTCTCTCTCTCTCTCTCTGTATGTGTGTGTGTATGTGTGTGTGTGTGTGTGTGAGAGAGAGAGAGAGAGAGAGAGAATCTTCAAGGTTCCTCAGTGGTTCCTCAGTGGACCAGTTGTCTGAGTCTTTCCAGTCCAGACAGATGGATGAGGGATGAGGAAGAGGCCTTTGAGATGGTTCCAGCCCCAGCTACTATCTGACAGCTTTAGCATAGAAACTCTGAGTGATCACCGCCTTGCTGAACCCAGGATAGTGCTACATTCATGAGCAAAAAAAGATCATTATGTCTATTTAAGTCACTGTTTTGGATATAGGTATTACACAGCAATAGATAACTAAAATATATGTTAAAGAATTTAGGGAACAAAAAGGAAATAGAATGTACTCAATTTATAAATCCACTTTTAAATGTTTAAGGAAGGAAATCTAAGTAGCTATGTTTATAAAATTCCTCCTACAATCTATTGTTTAATACTAGGATCATAAATAGAATGAGAGATTTGTAAGTTGAACTCAAAAGCCTAAGGGAAAACTAGGATCTTAAGTTTCTACTTCCACAAATTAAAACTTAATTGAAAAAAAAAAATCCACCATGAGCAAACACTTCTTGGATAGCTACTAATTCAAAGAAACAACATAGGGAGAGGAGCAGGTGATTTATTAGAGCTCACTAGGTGCCAGGCCATGTTGTCACAGGTGCATTACCTACAGGGTCACACTGATCCTCACAATGACCCTATGAGGTGTGCTTTATAGCCCATCTGACAGGCAAGGCCCAGAGGCCATGGAACCTTATCAAGGTTTTGTGGCCTGAAGTCTGGCCTGGCACCTTTGGACACCTTCTCTTGTAAGGACAGCTCCTGAGGGTGAGTTTCTCAGTGTCACTGAGCACTCTGGTATAGCTGTAGTGCTGGCACCTAGTGTCTACTCCCACCTTGCCCAGGAGTCTTCCAGTGGGTGAGAGGAGGTATGTGCATGACTATCCTGTGAACACAGAAGATCTGTCCTGGCCACAAAGAAACCAACAGTCCAGTGATCATTAAAGTTCAGGAGTGTGGATTGGAGCCAAAGGGACCCATGCCCTGGGCACAGCTTGAGACGAACTCTGGAGAGGAGTTCTAGAAGCTGTGGAAAGAAAAGGAGGGAAGATTTCAGCACTGGTTTCAGATAGCTTGTCTAACTTTACAGGGTTCTTTTCAGGTTTATTTTAATCTCTACCAATTCTCCCCCCACCCTTTTTTGTGGTACTGGGGCCTACACCTTGAACCACTCCACCAGCCCTTCTATGTGAAGGGTTTTTTTGAGATAGGGTTTCATGAACTATTTGCCTGGGCTGGCTTCGAACCTCGATCCTCCTGATATCTGCCTCCTGAGTAGCTAGGATTACAGAAGTGAGCCAATGGCACCTGGCCAATTCCCAAATTTAATTGTACCCAATGCCTGTAAAGCAGAAGTGGAAAAATGAGCTGGGAGCTGTGGGGGGACACAGGAAGGGGCTGCTCCACTGCCTGACTGACACAGGGAGCCTCTGGCAGGCAGAGGGTACTACTGGAGACTAGTAGTGCCAGGCTACCTTCAAGATCAAGACTTCTGTCCCAGAAGTCTTTCTAGTGGTTCTGTAAGGAAAGTGCTATTTATTCCCACTGTCAACCATCAACAGTCCCTGCTAGAGAAAGAGCCTGACATAGTATGACTGACATCTGTCTCCTCCCAGACACTTAAACCATAGCCTGGCTATCCAGAAGCTAAGGAACTAGATATGTTCTGGTAGGTCTCCACCTCTTTCTGTTGTCAGAGGATTCTGTCACCACCTTCTTGGAAAGCCAGACTGGGCAAAGCAGAAGGATAATCAGGTATGGGACAGGGGCTGGACAGTTGTACACACGATAGAATTTTAAGCTGTGTTGCTCATCTGACTAGTGCTTTACTGGCTCCTTTGTACACTTTGTCTCAGTTATCCTCACAGCAACTGGAAGAAGACAGAGGTATATCTGGCCTGTTCCACAGATGAGGAACCTGCTCCCAGTGGCAGCTCCCAACAGGACCAGAGTCTGGATCTTAGAGTCACAGTCACAGTATGGCTGTCAGAAGTTACCTTAAGCACAATAATCTCAGGCATCTTTTTCCCAGAACCTGAGAAGATTGCTTTTGTTTCCTGCTTGAACTCTTCCAATAAGTAACTCACTACCCCATGAGCAATCTATGAACCCTAAACTGAAATTTCTCTACTTAAAACTTTCAGTCTTTACTTCAATTTCTGCCCACAAGAACTACACCAAATTAAGTTATGGGCTCCTTCCCTGAACCACAGTTTGCCTCTGTGTTGTAATCTGTCATTTGCATAAGAGAGAAGGAGAGGAAACCATATGGACTTTTTACTTTCCAAACCACAGAATTTCCAGAACAATGTGAAAACATAATCCAAAGTGGCCAAAATTAGCCAGTGGTAACAGAGTCATTACCTAATTCAACAGATTGCCTCTGAAGTGCGTTTCTACACAGGTCCCTCCTTTACTGAGCATCTCTAATTAGTAAGACAGAATGGAACAATGAAAGCTGAAAAACCCCAAGGAAGTCAGGGGTGCTGTGAATCAGGCAGGAAGATCCTGCGTGAGTACTTATCTTCCAGCACTGCTTTGTCTGGTAGGCGAAGCAGCACCTATTTTCACTCAATTTCGGGCACCACCGGACTAAATAATATACTCTTTTCAGACAAGAGCTCCAGAGGAAGTTCTGGCTATTTTTAGTTGTTCTTAAATCAGATTGGTGTGCAAGACCAGCAGTGGTGTCAATGTGATAGGCTGAATCTTCCTAACAATGCCTCTTATATAAGTACTGTGCTGGGACAAATAACAATGAGCTTAAAATTTTGGTAACTACAGTGCCAGGAGATAGATAGGGAATTATGCTCTATCCTATAAAGGAAACAATAGTAAATTCCCACCAATCATATCTATAAGGGAGTATGATTATTTATTAAAGCAATAACTTAGATGGCAAATAAGTCAAGCAAAACATCCAAAACTACAATTTCAGAAAAAGATCTCAAGTGAAATTATCCTATTATCACAGGCTAAATTGAAAACTATCTGAAATTTGGCCAATTTGATATTTTCAAGTCGTTCTGAAAACTCCAGTTTAAGAGTAAACTGTAGTTTTCCTTTTTTCTCTATCACTTTTTTCTCTGTCACAAACAAAACACCTACTGTCCTTATGTTGACATGCCTGTACTTTAGAGAGTAATATTAGCAATTTTCTTATTGAGTTTCAGACAAGTCTGAATTTGGAAAGAGGCATATCATACCATTGCATTAAGGATGAAGACCGGGAAACTGAGATGTGACCTTTGACATAGACTGTCTGCACTGTAGTCTCATAACAGTGATAGATTCTTCACAGGTACAGAATAGAATACTTCTAGGCCATAGCCCAGCAGGAGTCACCACCAACAGGGAGAACAATCCCAAGTAGCTAGAGAAATGGTAGTGAATCATAGCAGAGTTCTTTCTGAAAGACATGCAAGTGTCCCAGGGCTACTGTCCATTGCATGGTTGACTGACTGCTGGTCTTTGCCTTCTTGGAAAATCTTATCCTTTGCCTTCTCACATCAATTCAAGAAGGCTCCTGGGGACAGACGGCCCAACAACTCAATGAGGAAAGTGAGGTTCAGTGAGGTTTTATGATTTGCAAAGTCACAGAATTACTTAGTAGCAGAGCCAGACACAAAAGCCAAGACTTTGGGTTCCCAGCCCCAGTCTCTTTCTTATTTACCATGCTGTCTGCCTCCTGTTGTTTAGGAAACATCCTTAAAGACCAAGTGGGGTGACTCACACCTATTATTCCAGCTACTCCAAAGGCAGAGATTGGGAAGATTGTGGTTCAAGGTCAACCCCGGGTAAAAAGTTAGTGAGAACCCTCCTACATCTCAACAAATAAACCAGGTGTGGTGGCACCGTACCAGAAATCCTAGGAGGATCACCAATTAAGGCTGACCTGGGCAAAAACTTGAGATCTTATCTGAAAAATAACTAAGACAAAAAAGGGCTCAAGTGACTTAGAAATCAAGAGGCTCTGAGCTCGAACTCCAGTGCTGCCCCCCAAATTCTTAAAGTTGGGAATTTTCACACCTTCACTTAAATGTAAATCTTAACTCTTGTTAAGAGTTAAGATAGGGTCAGGCATGGTAGTACTCACCTGTAATCCCAGCAGTGAGGAAGCTGAGGCAGGAAGATGGCAAGTTTGAGGCCAGTTTGGGCTACACAGCAAATCCTTGTTTCAAAAAACATTTAGTAAGGGGGAGTTTTGGGAGAAAGAAGAGAAAGCAAGGCCAGAAAGTAGACAGAAGGAAAAGAAAGCAATAGGTAAGCTAAATAGGTGAGTAATTAGATAGAATTCAGGACATGTGGAGAGGGAGAGGGACACTAAAAAGCAGCAAGTGGAGGCACCCAGGATCAGGCAGAAGTCAGAAAGGGAGAAGAAGGGAAAAAGCAAATAGAACCAGGGAAAGAGAAGAAAGCCAGGAAGAAGCACTGGAGGACACTGAGAGCTCTGACTTGATGAGAGTGTGAGGTGGGTAGATTGGACAGAGCGAGGGACCCATAGCACATGTGGGTAAGCATGGACAGAATGACCAAGTAGAAGGTGGGGAAGAGTGGTAAGTGGGGACAGAGCAAATGAGTCTTAGCTAGAGCCCTGGAATGACCCCAGAATCAAACATCTACACTCTGATCATTCATATCTCTCTCTCCCCCTTTCATCCTTTATGTGACTTGGTTTTGAAAGTACACAGACATTCACTCATTTACTTCGTGCCCCCAGAGGCGTTAACCACTGGGTTGGTTTCTCAGGAAATTTGTTGGTGCTTCCCAAAGAATAGTGGGTCTCTCTGCACCTCCTTCACTTAAAATGCCTTTCAAATTGAGGACAGTGGGATTTTCCTCAGGAAAAGCCAGGCCTCCATCATGATTGGGTAGAGTCCTGGAGGAAAATGTCACAGCATTGTGAGAACAGCCAGGGGAAACAAGAAAGCAATTTCTCAGAAATACCAAGTGGGGCCTACGTACGCACGCCTGGGAGGGAAACCCTGACCCCACTGTTAGGCCCTTCTGGATTCAGGCCCAGCCCACCTCCCACACATGCTGGGTGCTGGGGAAAGCCAAGGCACTCTTATACCTGTCCCACCCCAGTAACGTCAACCAGAGCAGCATCCAGTCCTCTGCCCAAGTGACCAACACATCCTCTACTGGGCAAGAGGAGAGCAAGATGGGGACATTTTCTTCCCAGAACTCTTAGCCTGTCTTGATCTGCTTTAAAATATGCCATTTTAACACAGCAATTTCTGTCTCATCCAGGTTAAGTAACAGCTAGCTGCTTTCCAGAATTGACTGTATGCCAAGACAGTCAATAGGAAGTAGAACCACAACAGCACTCTTTTCCCTTTACCATACATGCCACGGGTAAAAATCCCTCAGTCCAGCAGTGGCCTACCTTGCAAAAAAAATTAGCAAGTAACCAGTCCACTCTGAATGTCAACCAGCCCACTTTCCAAAAGGCACCCTGTTAAATAAAGACTGAGTTTAGAAAATCTCTTCATGTCATGCATGCACCTGGACTGAGCTGGATTAATGCTGTGAGTCCTTTGAGAGGGGACGCTCCATGCAGCAGTGTTTTTGTCCCTACAAGCTGAGTTAAGGCGAGCTGCTGGCCAGAGTGGGCAGAAGCTGCCTCCTGCGTACTTACATGGGATCCTGAGCCGATGACTGTGCCCGTGTTAGTTCAGCCCTCACCTCATGTACTCCCCATCACTCCTATAATCCATAAATGACTCTGATCCTGACACCTCCTCAAAATCCTCCAGCACCAGACTGGTGGAGTCCTCACCCAGGGCGCCGCTGTCTGGCCTGGACATCCTGGCCAGGGGCAGAGGGGCAGGAAGGTTGCTGGTACCCGGAACAGGAGAGCAAGGGGGTGTTGACTGGACAGAGGTGGGCATGTTCTGAGCAGGGGACGCAGCTGGCTGGCAGACTTCCTTGTCATCCTTGTCAGACTCCGGCCCTCCATCAGAAGCAGAGGGACCCAGGACATGGTAGAGGCTGGGGAGGCGGATGTCGAAGCGTAGCCCAAACTTGGCAAAGAGCTTGTCATTGAGGGTGTAGAGCTTCTCCGAGATGTCATAGCCCAGCAAGGCTGAAAAGAGGCGTGAGATGTATCTCTCTCTGGTCAGAAGAAGGTGGAGACTTTTGCGGGGCCAGGAAATGTAGCTACATTCGGTTTCGGCAGTCAGAGTGACCTGAGGGGGTCAGGAGCAGAGAGAGGAGGTTTATACTAGAAGCAGGTCCATGCTGAGCACAGGCAATCATATGGCTACTTGGCAAATGACTGTACTCTCCTTGAAGTACTCATCCATGGCTTTGTAAGAGGAGGTCCAGGGAATGACTTTTATGTGTGTGCACTGACACAGGATGTCTTGTGTCAGGAGGCTTGGCTCAGCAACTTGCTCATTAGCCCACCACCTCCCAGAGCCTCAGTTTCCCTATCTTCTTTTCTCAACTCTCATATGCCATGGTTTCATGGTGGATACCAGTAATGGCTGCATACATTTTGAGATGAGTGGAGAGAGAGAGAGAGAGAGAGAGAGAGAGAGAGAGAATATACCCTCATTCTTTTTTTTTTCATGCATCTAGGCATTTCTGAGTATTCACTGTGCCCATGATGCAAAGCTAAATTGCACTTTGTAGAGAGAATAAGCAATACCACGTGCAGCAGGTGCATAATAAATCCTTGTTCAAATAATGATAAGTGGTAAAGCAGGGATTAAAATAGAAACATACTACTTCCAGCACAGCCAAATTGGAACTTTTGGCACAACGGGACTGGAACTGGCACCCAGCCTTTGTCCAGCATCTGTGGACAGCGGCGATGCCATGGAGCACCTTGACAAAGTAGCATTGAATGTGCTGCAGCCACCTGAGTTCAGAAACAAAAGTTCCTCAGGATCTACTCTGAAGACTCTGTTATTCTTCACAGCTGTAACGATCGATTATGGTTCCCACTGGCTTGTGTTTCACAACTAAATCTTATTTGATGCCTTTGGGCTGTCTAATAGGGATAGTTACTTTTGTGCTGCCATTGTTGCAGTGGCCGCTGCTCATGTGGTGCTGGCCCTCTTTGTGTACATGGCCTGGAATGAAGGGTCACGACAGTGGCATGAAGGCAAACAGGATTAAAGTGAACATCACCTTTTGATAGCAATGATTTTTTAAGTATGGTAAATGTTTCTTGGGTATTGATAATGAATACACTTTATTTGAATAAAGCTTAAAGAACATGTTACAGTTAATTACAGGGAGTGACATTTGACCAGTGTACATTTTGGCCCACCTAATACAAGGTTCTGTACAATCAGTTTTAACTTTGAGTCTCTCATCTGCAAATGAGAATTTGGAAAACTTAAATCAGGCACAAATTAATATTTTAAATGAGTTACATGTTATGCTGAGAAGAATTTGATTATCATACAATGATAATGTTTTATAGCATTTTGTCTTATTCTTGTTTTTCAGTTTTATTCCCCTGGATATATTAAGATGTAAGTAGTGAAGCAAGTCTGAAGTTCATTTCACACAGGAATTCTTGATTTTTTTTCTGATACTGGGATTTGAACTCAGGGCCTCGTGCTTGCTGGGCAGGCACTCTACCACTTGAGCCACTCCACCAGCTTCACACAGCAATTCTTACCCTAACTGTCATGAGAATGCCAGGTCCTTGCATTTGGCATTTTAATTTCCTATGGAAAGTTGCTTCAATTGTAGACCTTGTAATTAATCTGAATGTCTTGAGGAATTTCACATAAAGTATAATCCCTGGTCAGTGCAAAAAAAAAAGAAATATGTTTAGGGTAGTACAGATAAAGGGTATAGAATCTCTCTCACACACACACACTATATATACATAGATATATATGTATATATATATATATTAGCAGTAGTGGGGTTTGTACTCAGGACTTTGTGCTTGCTAGGCAGGCACTCTACCACGTGGGCCACAGCTCCAACTCCAACCCTCACACAATTTTTTATAATTTGATTGATCTGAGCTTTGAACTGGCAGGGTTTGTGATGGGTATTTGCAGATGGAGACAGTGGGAATGATGAAGACGATGAGAACATGGAGAGGTGCCACAACTAACAGTTATTATCCTCTAGCATATTTCATGATTTACCTATTTATTATGTTTGAGGCTTATTTTTAGTCTCTCCCACTAGGATGTGTGATGGAAGGGACGTGTATCTGTGCTGCTCATAAGTACCTTTAGCATACAATAAGTGCTCAGTAGATAGTACTTGTGAATGAATGAATCAAGTGAAGACTATCAATCTTATATGGTGCAAAACAACCTGATGTCACTTTATCACGCTTTGTATAAAATCCTTTCCATAAGGGGCTCCAGAAATCAGCTTCTTGATTGGTTCCTACATGTACATGGGCACGTCTGTATAGTTTTGACAAGTACCTAGCTTTTTCTCTAACACTCACCTCAGAGTTGGTTGAAGGGATTCAGTGAGATGACATATGTAAGCAGGAGTTAGATGAGTAAAATGGGGAGCCAAGTGTCAGGGTGGGGATGGAAGCCTGCTCAGCCAAGTGGCACTGCCTGGTATATGTCTGTTCTGAGCTTGGGTTATATGTTGCTAAAGGGACTCCCTGATGTAAGTGGGAGGAAACTATGTGGTCAGGGGATGGGGGTCCATAAGGGTGGGAAGTGTATGTGTGTGTGTATACACTCCTCTCTTCTGATGGTCTTTCCATTAAAAAAAAAAAAAGGACATAGACAGTAGATTCAGGCTGCTTCTTGGTATAGTGGTGATTTCTGTGGGTGTCTCCTGTGACATGTTCTTGATGACTAAAAGTGTCACAGTGCCAACATTCATCAGATCCTGATGTAACTGCATTGTTGAGGGGCATGACTGATTTGTGTGAAGCACCATGTGATTTATGATTTAGGCAGTCACTTTGGATTGCTCTTTCAGTCAACAAGAGCTATATAATTGCAAAAGCAAGGTCAGAATGAACCATAACTTGGAACAACATTTAACCCAAGGGGGACCCATTTGCAAAGAGGAAATGGGACTTAACACAGCCAACAGAAAATGTGTGGATCTCATTGCTTCCAAATGAAGGGCACACTAAAACTATAAAAGGGAGGAATAGGCTTGTACTCACATTTCAGGCTGAGAGGCCATCTGGGGTGACAGCCCTTCCTTTCGAGCATAACTCAGGGGAGAATGCCAGCCACCCCCACCTGCTCCTTCCTGTCAGTGTCACAGCCATGGTCCAGCTGGCTCAAGGCTACTCAGCCCTCCTGAACATTCTCATGGGCTTTGGGAGTTCCCAGAGGGCACTGCTGTGCTAGTCAGAGAGGGTGGACACATGGGAGAACTGGGGTAGGAAAATGATTGAAGGGGTCCATGGCTGGTGGCCCTGGCAGTAAGATGAACATTGCCTCTCAGACTCTGTCACCACAGAGCCAAGTGTCAGGGTGGGGATGGACGCCTGCTCAGCCAAGTGGCACTGCCTGGCATGTGTCTGTTCTGGGCTTGGCTTATATGCTGTTAAAGGGACTCCCTGATGTAAGTGGAAGGAAACATCTGGGACCTAGGACCAGCAAATTATGTGGTTGGGGGGGGCGGGGGTCATAAGGGTGGGAAGTGTGTGTGTGTGTGTGTGTGTGTGTGTGTGTGTATAACTCCCCCCGCCCCCCTCCATGGTCTTTCCGTTAAAAGAAAAAAACCAAAGAACATAGAGAGTAGGTTCAGGATACTTCTTGGCTTTGCTGCTTTATACCTGAATTATATGATATTTGGGGGCCTTAGTTTCCTCATATTCAATCAAGAGTTGTGTGAATCAGTGAGGCCATAAAATATGCAGTGCCTGCCACATTCTAGCCATTCAGTTTCCAGAACTACAAAGAAAGTAACCAAGTCTGAAGGATTGGCAGAGAGCAGCCAGGCTCCCCACTTGGCACATGGGTGTGAATGTCCCTTAGAAGCCTCATAGATACAAGTGGAAGCTGGCAAGCCAGTTCAGCAAAGCTTTATTAAACATCTCCTATGTTCCCAGGATGTCCTTTAGTTCCTGGGATGGAGACAAGGAGAAGCCCAAAATTTTACTTCAAAGAATTCACCATGGAGAAGTTGGAAAGAAGCCCAGACTGTTAGAACAGAGAGCAACATGGCACCATCAACGTAAGAAACAAGAGCAGCACACTGTGGAGTGGAAGCTGGGATGGGGAGTGGGGGTGGGGAGGTGGACTGGGCCACCTCCTCAGAGGAAGTGAAGTCCTGGGGTCTCTCATCAGAAGGAGAAATGCATTTCACATAGAAGAGACCAAGTTGGGGTCAAGGCACAGGGCTTTACAACAACGTGGTATATTTGGGGAAGTACTAGCAGTTGACATGGCTGGTATGAGCAAAGTGTATGAGGATTGGAGATGCAGCCAGAGATCACTAAAGGTTTTACATTTTCTTCTTCTTCTTTTTCTTCTTCTTCGTTTTGCAGTGCTGCAGTTTGAACTCAGGGCCTACACCTTGAGCCACTCCACCATCCCTTTTTTGTGATGGGTTTTTCCAAGATAGGGTCTTGCAAACAATGTGTCTGGGCTGGCTTCAAACTGTGATCCTCCTGATCTCTGCCTCCTGAGTAGCTAGGATTACAGGCATGAGCCACCAGCGCCTGGCTAACATTACCTTCTAAGAAGTATGAGTCTGTATCTTATGGGCACTACAGTCTTCTGGGAGGATTTTAGGCACATGAGTGACATGACTACCTACAAGGACCAGCATACCCCTGGCCTGCCCCCCTCACCATCAGTCCAGGTACTCTTTGCACAGAGGTGGAGGTGGTCATGGTCCCTCCCCCAGTATCACATTGACAGTGGTCAAAGGACAGATGTGAAAGGGGAAAGATGGAGATGCAGCTATTGCTGGGTTAAACAGAGGGACAGATAAGACAATGCTGCACGGGCTCTTTATTACCTGGAAGGTCCCCTCCTCAGAGGGCTGCAGCGATTCCCACTCGGGAGAGTCCATGAATTGGTATGGGAAGATATAGTGCAGAAACTGCCCATCCTGGCTCACCCGAACCCTGGCAAAGGGAGAGAAGACAGTGTGGGAAACACCTGGCACTGAAGTCACACATTGCTAATAGGTACAAATCATCCAGCAGAAACCCCTTTGCTAAGGCATGGGGTAGCCCAAAGCAAGGGTAACCTGTCTAAATATGGAAGCTGTTTAGAAAGGGAACCCACGGAGACCTCTTGAGTCCTCTTTCCCCTCCTCCTTCTGTTTACCCATGGTCCTTCATTCCAGGCTACAGAAAAGAAGCCCTGGGGGAGCTTTAAAAGGCACCTAGGCCTGCACCTTATCCCAGAGCAATAAACAAGAGTCTGTAGGTGGGATGTGGATATTATCAGTTTAAAAATCTGCCCAGCAATTCTATTGTGCAGCCAGAATGGGAACCACTGCTCTAGAGCTCTGCTACCTACTAGCCATGCATGGCTATTTAAGCCCACACTTACATTCATTAAAACTAAATAAAGTGAAAAAATCTAGCTCCTCAGTTAGGCTATTCGCATTTCAAGTGCTCCATAGCATGCGTGGCCTGTGGCTACCACATTGTGCAACAGAAGTCTAGAACATCTACTGGACAGTGCTGTTCTAGAGGTTTAGCCTGGGGTGACTTCTGTTCCTTCACCTTCCCAGTGGGCTACGTGAAAAGCCATGCTCTCTCCATCACATGCTTACATTACAGCCACTTTTCAACCTTTGAAGGAACTGGTGAGTCCACTATATACCAAACACTGTGCTACTACATAAGTGTCCTTTTACTTGTCACAATAACTCAAGGCAAATTTTTCTTACTGCTTACCGCAGTTGTTGTGCAGGCTGGTCTTGAACTTGTGGTCCTCCTGCCTCTGCCTCCCTAGTGCTGAGAGTACAAGTGTGGGCCACCTTGCCCAGCAAAACAACTTAACTTTTTGTTTATTTTTTAATTGGTGGTGTGGGGGATTAAACCCAGGGCTTTGCACATGCCAGGCAAGTACCCTGCCACTGAGCTACATACCAAGTCCTTAGATTCTTCTTTTCTGTTTTACAACTAAGAAAAAAATACCTGGACATGGTGCTCAGCTGTGTATGGTGGCAAATGGCTATAATCTCTACACTTGGGAGGCTAAGAATCAAGAGTTTGAGGATAGCCTGGGCTACACAGCAAGTTCTAGGCCAACCTGAGTTACACAGAAAGACCCTGTCTCAAAACGCAGAACAAAACAAAAACAAACAACAGTTAAAAAAAACTCGGTTGCTGAGAAAAGCTGAGTGGTGAGTGTAAGGTTACATAGTTATCAACGGCAGAATTGATTCTGTGTTCTTACCATGACACCATGTTATGCACACCAGAGCTTTTTGTAGGTGATCTTAGCACCTCTACCCTCACTAACCAGAATTTAACAATAACATCTTCTGTGTTTGAACAATGAGATCTCATATGTCCTGTCTTGAATGGCCTTGGGGTAAAACATCTAAGCCAAGCTAAGCCATCTGCACTCCTTCTATGGGAATTTGGAGCTAGAATTAAGTGAATATGACTCATGTCTTAGATGGGGACAACTAGTAGGCACTGATGAAACTAACAGACTCTTCTGTTAAGTAACTAACACCTTGTTTTTTTTTTAATTGTGTAATTCAAACTTGGAAAAAGCACATAGCCCAATTGACCATAAGGAAGAGAAATCTAAAATGATATGAAATGCCCAATAGAACTCTGTCTTGTTTCTCTTTCTACCTGAGTCTCAGGTGCATGCCTGTCATTGAGTCTGATAAGAGATACTTGTGCTTTTTCAAATATCTTACCCTACCCTTGGCTAGCTAGACTGGGTTTCAGTGGTTGCACCCAGGAATTTTAATTAATACATTTGTTTCAATGTTATGAATATTCTTATTCCACACTACCAGCCAGTTAAACAACTGCTCTTGACTTGCCCATGACCACAGGGTTGGTTTCACAACTTGGATGAGAAACCCCACTAATGCTGCTTGCTGTCTGTGTCACGTGGCCAGCACCTAGCCTGATACTTGCCCCTACAGGACAGAGACCCGCATTCTGGGAGACTTTGTTATAATTCATGTCATCAACTATGTCTGGGGAGAGTGAGCATATCTCAGATGTGCTGCAGTATCTGGAAAAGATGAGGGTTCAGTATGGGCTTTTTCCTCTTTTCCCCCAAAATGCAGTTTTATCTTCAACCTCTCTTCTGAAGTGAGTTATACCAGGCAAGCAGGTGCCTCCATCAGGCAAAGGAGGAAGAAGGTACACATGTTCATTTGCAGGGACTTATCCTTCCATTACTTCTGGAACTCTACTGGGTAAAAACAATATTCATGGAGCACCTCCTGTGTTCCCTGAGGCCTGGGGATGCAGAGACAGGTACAATCTAGCCTTTGCCTCTGAGAGTTTTGTAGGTTTCTGGAAGTCACAGGCACATAAGTAATAAATGCTATTGTGGAACAGTTGCATAGAGGAAGGAGAGAGACCGGGTCTCTTCGTGACCAACTTCTCAAAGATGGCTTCCAGTCGAACTTTGAAGGGTGTCTAGTCTACTGAGAAGCAGATAAGGATAGAGATGGATGGAGGTTTGGGAAATCCAGTGTGGCAGTCTATTCTCCAATATCTGCCTTTTCCCTTCCTCTGTGGTGCTAGAGTTTTAACTGGACAAATGACTGCTCAGCTAAAGACTGAATATTCCTATTTCTCTTGCTGCTAGGTATAGCCAGGGGTTAAGTTCTGGCCAAAGGAGTATAAGCCTTGCTCTTAACCAATTCCTCTGTGTGTGTGTGTGTGTGTGTGTGTGTGTGTGTGTGTTCATGTGCAAATTGCCAAAAACCATTACCTGTTTCTACCTATTATCTGATCACCTAAAGAAGGAAGAAAGAAGAGGATTTAGGTCTCAAACCAAGCTAAGAACAGAGTCAGCCCATAGCCTCTGATAGCAAAAACACACTTGTGCTGTAAGACCAGATAATATATAGATTGCCTGGAAGAACTTCCCTGAGTAATGAAAGTACACTAGAGAAAATGAAGTGCATGTTCTCTGATGTCAGGGTCTTTACATGTGTTGTCTTCAGCTGGACCTCTTCTCTCAGGCCTCAGCTTAAAAACTCCTTTCAGTAAGTCTTATCTGACCTCCTCAGAAAAGTAAGATACTCTTGTTACATGCTCTGATTACTTTGCATTTCTTCATGAAAATACTATATCCGTGGTTAACCCCTATGGCACTTTTTTGGTGGAATGTAAACTTCATGAGTAGAAGGGCAATATTTTTCACATGTAACACTGGATCCCTAGTCCCTAGCACTATTAATATCTGTGTGTGGTGGGAGGGAGGGAGGAAGAATAGAGGGAAGGAAAGAAGGGAAGAAAAGAAAAAACGACAAATGAATAAACAACTCATTTGTGTGTCACCCTAAAAGGGGATCAAAGCCTCAAGAAAAAGCTTTTCTAAGAAAGAAAGACACTGGGAAAGAAAGGAGTGCTGTGGCATAGATTGGGTTTTCTCATCATCTCCCTGGGTAAGGAAGCTGGCTCCCCAGGCAAGCTACCAATGATTGATGCCTCCTGACATCTAATGAGACTTCAAGTCTCACTGAAGTCATTTGAACTGGTCTACTTTATTACCTGTCTCGTCTTCCTTCTTGATTTTCTGGAGGACGGGTCATTTCCTCCAATGTGAATAGCTTAGAAAGAACTTAATTACCTGCTCAGGGGCTGTACATGTGGGAGTTTGTGCTTCACATTTTATATGACACAAACTGCAAGGGTAAGCCAGCTTAACCAGGTGTCAGGCTTTGAATAAGTTACTTTGTTCTTTGTGTCTTGAAAGGGACAGACTGCAATTTTTTTAAAACAAAACAAAAAACACTTATGAGAGCCAGGCCCGGCTGCTCACATCTGTAATCCTAGCTACTCAGGAGGCAGAGATCAGGAAGATCACAGTTCAAAACCAGCCTGGGAAAATAGTTCACAAGACCGTATCTCAAAAAACCCATCATAAATAAGGACTGGTGGCTCAAGGTGTAGGCCCTGAGTTCAAATCCCAGTGCTGCAAAAAAAACAAAACAAAAACCACCTAAGAGGTTTGCACAAAGGGCTGTACATGACAGTCTGCATATAAGACAGGGAGGGCAGCACAAAGGGGTCCCACTTCCTGGTGTTTGGTACCACAATGTAACCAGCCAGGATACAGTGGTTCTCAGAAGCCAGTCATAGGCTAGAAGCCTCTTCTCACTTGTCTAACTTACAAAAGCTGGAACAGCATGAAAGTCTTTCTTGACAGCAAAAGATAACACGAAACAACAATTACAAACCCTTAGTGCAAACGCTGAAACTGTCCCAGCAACACTGTCTAATTTCTAACTTAAGTTTTGACGTGACGTATACTGGGAAGGACTATGCTGAAGGGCAAGCCTCCTCTTTCCTTCACAGGCCATGGTCTTACGTGAGTTCACAGTAAATCTGTCACACATAAGACACCTGGACCATATGGTAATCATAATCTTCCAGCAAATGAGCACAGTAGAATGGGGGGCACTTCTACTGATCTCAATTCCCTCCTTTGAACAGAAGAGCTACAAGGAGCAAATAACATCACAGATCTCAAGAATGAGCAAGTTCCTTGCATTGTTTTTATTTTAAGCATGGAACCGCAGGAGTAAACATTCTGGAAATATTCACAATGCCTATTTGTTTATAGATAATTGTTTTTGTTTACCCTTTCAATTCACTCAGAAAAAAAACGAAATGTCTCCTTCCCTCATAACTCACTCAACCCAAATCTTATGAGCCAAAAAAATCAAAACCTATTTACATAATACTTAGAATTCTACAGTTAATACTTAAATGTGTACTATTACTATAAAAATTAGTTGTCATATCATTACCATCAAGCTTTTGCTTTGTTTTGTTTTGTTTTTACCACTTTGAGGTGTAGTCAATCTTATTTACTTCCTATTCTTTTTTTGAAATCAGATCCTTTTGATTACCGTCTTAACTTTTCTACCATATTTTCAGTCTTTTTTTTTTTTGGTAGGTACTGTGATTTGAACTCAGGACCTCATGCTTGCTAGGCCCTCTACCACTTAAGCCACTCCACCAGCCCTTTTTTGTGATAGGTTTTCCAAGATAGGGTCTCGTGAACTATTTGCATGGGCTGGCTTTGATCCTCCTGATCTCTGCCTCCTGAGCAGCTAGGATAACAGGTATAAGCCACTGGCACCTGGCCATATTCTTGGTCTTAAGCAAGCTGGCAGAAGGGGGTAAGGATGGGAAAGAGCCACTGAGGCAATATTTCAAAAGAATCCACAGTTGTCCACAAAGTGTGCAGCCCAGAGCCCCGTGGTGTTTTCTTGTGAGAATGTAAATGTCAGACACACACGTCTTGACTGAGACAATTGCTATTGTCTGACTACCATTCTTCTTCAGAGGAGGCAAGTGTCTCCACTAAATCCCCAATGAGACACACGTGGACATCACTACTCGTCTGCCACTGTGGGTCCTCAGATTTACAGTACTTGACTTCTTGGTCTGCAAGAATCTTAATAGAAAAACTGGAATGGAAAAGTGAACCAAGGGTGTATGTAGCCCCTCCAAGGCTTATAGACATTGCTGCAGCTGAGACACCACACACTGGTGTGTGTGGTGGGGGGGCGGAGATATCATTTCAGATCTGGGCTAAAGAAATACTCATGCTCACCTCCTAGCAGCAAGTATCCATCACTCATTCTAGCCAACCAGAAGATGCCTCATAACCTAGTTTCCTCTTGGAAAATGTTGAGAAAGAGGAAGTAAACTCCTCAAAAAATCTATTTTGGTTTGACTTGCACATCCTTCCCTTGATGAAAAGGAACATGAAATGGAAAGGGACACCAGGAAATAAGAAGTGTGGGCTGGGGAAAGAAATTCTGGGCAATGGCAATGACAGGTGCTTACCGGCCAGAGAGCAGCAGGGACAGGCGGTCGATAGGTGTCTCACCCTCCACAGCATAGGTCTGCTCCACGGACAGAGTCAAGACCCGCTCCTGGCAGCAGCAAATGATTTCCTTGTAGGTCTGCAGAGGCACCTGCAGGGGCAGGCACAGTGTCTTGTAGAGGAGGTCAAACTCCTCAGGGAGTGTGTTCACACGCAGGCGGTACACCAGGTGTGCCAGCTGAAGCAGGCAAGCCACTGTCAGCAGGAAGCTCCAGAAGACAATGTCCAGCCCACAGGCATCAAACCAGCCCCACAGCACACAGCACAGGTAGCCCGTGCCCAGGAAGCCAAAAAGGTAGAAGCATCCATACACCCCACTGCCTGCCATGAAGCCCAGGAGCAAGAAGCAGTTGGCCAGGTGGTAGACAGCCCCTTCCAGAGCCTGCTTCCAGCTGACGCACACCGGCCCCTGGAAGAGGAGCTGGCCCACCAAGCTGCTGTTGGCGTTCATCTTTGGGGTGTCTCCAAGCCTTGCTGACCTCTGATACTGTTCTCACACAGAAAGCACAGAAAACGAATTAATGTGTCCCCAGGTGTCTTCTCACCTCTGGCTTCTCACCACCAAGTCACCTCTGCTGGGAGAAACGCTTCCCAGTGGCTTTGGGAATGAATGCCAGAACATAGTATGCTCCAGGGAGAATGTAAAAACTTTTTTTCTTTCTTTCTCTCCTCAGCATGGCTCTGGCCCTCCCTGCAGGACTCTGGCAAGCTCCCTTGGCTTCAGGTTTCCTAGGACAGTCTTCATATTTGCTTCAGCGGAAAACATAAATTGTCCCAAGAGAAAGGTAGGGCTACGAGAGTGAAAACTTCAGCCGTGCAGGGTGAAGCGGTCAAATCCTGCTTTCTGTTGTTCCCAAACAGAATGAGGAGAGCCCAGCAAGGGAAGCACACTTGTGTTCCATTTGGAATGCATTCCGTCTTGGCACCGGAAGAAAGGGTGACCCCAGAAGGATACCATGTTTGGAATTGGAATCCAAGAGGTGCTGGCAGTGAGAAAAAACAGGCCAGGCACACAGGCAGGCTGGCAGAGCACTTAACATACCTCCCAGAGGACAAGATAAGACCTCAGGTCAAGAGAGGCAGGTAGAGGATTCACCTCCACACTGCGGGCAGGACAGTGTGCAGAGCTGGCTTTGGGGAGGGCCAGAGGGCTCTCATGAGGTAGGAGGACATATCAAAAGAGGAAAGCATGAGACTATTATCAGAAACAGTTCCAGCAGTGAAAACTGGAAAACCTCTTGACACATTTTATTAAGACACTGCAATATCATTACACATTTGATAGCTAGTCAACCAAAACAGCTCTGTAAAGCACACTTTTGAATTCTAGGCTCACTCTCCCCTGCATGTATCTGGATCTTATAATAGTCAGTGGAAACACATTGCCAATATTTCCAAATTATAACTACTAGTAAACACTAAGTGTCACATCTCCATTAGACATTCTATATACTTATTCCATCATCACTCCGACCTTCCTTCTAAATCTGAAAGAAATGGAGGCTCAGAGAGGTAACATGTTACTACAGGGAATAAGTGGTAGAGGCAGGATTTGAACCCAAGACTGTCAGACTTAACACTCTGTCTTAAGAGGCTTGCACACTAAATGGAAATGCAGGACTAGATTTGTGATTCTCCACCTCACGTTTCTATAAAGTCAGATGACTTCCAAGGAACTTCTGGATGAATATGGGAGATTTATTTTGGACTGGCAAGAAACAAATCTGGAATATACAAATTTAAAATAAGAACTGTAACTCTCTGGCTTACAGGTGACTCCTTGATTCTTCCTGGCTGCGGGGTTAGGAAAGCCATTATTGTGTGCTTGAACTACTCAAATGTTCAATCTGCAGGGACATTTACTTTGCTGCCATCACCCAATCAGCACTAAGAAGAAAGCAGATGTATCAAATACGCTGAGTAGGAGTCTTCAGCTCAATAAGTATTTACTGAGCAGCTATCAGGAGGCAAGTCTCACTCCATTAGGGGAAAGAGACCTCAAAAAAAAAAAATGACAACTCAAGTGTGTGAAGAATGGGGCAGCTCAGGAGGAGAGGTGGCACTGGGGAGGGACGATGTAAGAGCATAGACTTGATTTGAGAAACTGGGTTGAGATAGGCAGAGAAAGGACAGCGTTTGTAGGTGTGGGACTGACTGCACAAGCTTGGGCACAGTGCTGTGAAAACACATGGCATGTTGAATCCAGCCTTTTAATTTATTTAAAATCAACTGACCAACAAATGTACATCCCATTTCCCTCTTTCTAAAGCAAAAAGGGGTAAAAATCAGTGGTAAGGAAACAGGCTGAGTGCTTGGAGAAGAAAGGTCCCCAACCTCCCTTATGGCACTGGTTGGACCCTTGATGTCTTTTGAGCAGTGCAGTGTGGGGACTGATTACTATATGCTGCTTGTCATGTGCCTGCCTCGCAACGAACCCGCCTGCTTTAACAAGCAGCAGCTGTCTACCTTAGTCATGCACCAAACTCCTAGGCTTGGCATCCCTGCCAGCTGTAAGCAGTAAAGTCAGGGCCCAGAGAAGCAAACCAAGGCTCTGCCCAAGATAGAATTTCACAGCAGGTCATCTTTCTCAGCCAGCCTGCCAATGGGTTGACTCTGACCCTTTAAAGAGACAGACAGACCCATTAACTACTGCTCACTTGCCCTGCTGCCCAGACCAAACTCTGTCTGCTTCCTTGTTGAGCTACATGTGCTTATCTGAGTAGAAGGCATTGGCATTTATGAAACAACTATGTCTTCCTCATAGTTTTTTTAATTTCCTTTTTTTGATACAGGGCCTATCTAAACCAGGCTGGCCTTGAATTATCAACCCTTCTGGTCTCCCAAGTGTGGGAATTACAGGTGTGTACCACCACATCTAGCCTGTTTTGGTTTTTTTTTTTTTTTAATGGAAGGTACAGGTTTAGAAAAGCTGAGGAACTTGCCCAAGGTCACAGAGCTAGACTGTGATAGGGATTAAAACCTAAGTCAGCGTGAATGTAAATTACATATTCTCTTTGCTATAGTATCCTACCAGGTACTTTGGGGGAGTTTATATAGCTATATACATTTACTATACAGGTGTAGTAAATGGTGACATGTATGTCAGAGAATCATTCCTGCAATGTAAGTATGATATTGATGCCCATAGGATAGCACCTATGATCAGAATAAAATGAAAAATTGTAATTGTATCTTCATTGTTTTTAAAGCCAGATTTGACAGAGGAAAGAAAAATTTATTGTGTTAAAAGTTATGTTCATAGAAGGAAAATCACAAACATGAAAGTAGTGTAGTGGAAAATATTTGAGGAGGAGGTGGTGAAGGAAAGAAACAGACATCACATAATTTATTGAGTTGATTCAATTCAGTGAGCATTTATTCAGGACAAACTGTGTGTGCCAGTAACAGGACACAATGATGAACAAGACAATTACCACCTTCAAGGAACATTTTGTCTAGAGGGGGAGACTGACCCAGGAAAAACTGCAATCCCATAAAATAAGGAGATTTGAGGTTCAAAGGAAAAATACTGACGGGGATGCAAAGAATTGAGGAAAATATCACAGGGAAGGTGACATTTCAGCAGGTCTAAAATGATTAGCAGGTGTTCCCCAGTTGGGGGGAGGACATTCCAGGAAGAGGGAACAGAATGTAAAACAAAAATATGTGGCATATTTGGGTAACAGAGAACAGTTTTTTTTATAGGAGCTTCCACAGCAGTCACAGGACACCAGGCAGGAGAGCAGGCTGGGTCAGGCTGTGAAGCCAGTCAGCTAAACAGCACTTCCCAAGCATGGTCAACGACCCAGGCTGGACTTGCAAACATTTGATTCTGGCCCATGCTGATATAAGGACAGAAACTGAAAGCAAGTGTTTAGACAGTTTTGTAGCATTTTGACAGAAACTTAATGGCTTTTGAATTTAGCAACAAAAAATGTGAAGCTTGTATAATGTATGTCTTTTTTAAGCACATTTTTAAATTAGCGTGTATTAATTGTACAAAGGAAATATTTCACACATGTATATGTTGTACTTTGATCAGATTAATCCCCTTCATTGTTCTCTTCTCCCTGTCCCCCTCCTCCCCCACTCCCCACCTTCAACAGCTTTCAGTGGGTTTCTTTATGCCATCTTCACATATAGGCACAATGTGTTCCAATATTATTCACTCCCCCATCATTCTTTCCAATAATTATATATGTGGATACAATTATAATCATTATATATATAAATAATCTGTCGTGAATTGGGAAAAATGTTAGTTCTTTAAGCACATATAATTTGAGAAATACTAGGCTTGAGACTAAGTTTTCCAATACAGATATTAAAATAGGACAGAGTGATGATTTTACACTTTGGATATATCCTGCCAAGTTGATCTCAAGCAGACATATAAGTTTTCTTCCTACAGTCATTTCCCATTTCCTTTTCTTAAGCTTAGGGAATTCTGGTTTTTCTTGAGCATTATGTTAAGGAAGGTGGGCTTTTCCCCTAGTTGCCAAGTTCTGCACTAGTTCTGCTTGACTGGAGAAGCCAAGTACAGTATTCATTGCCTTCATGGCTTAAAGGTGTGCATGTGACTGTGATATAGAAGAGGAAGCAGTAGGGGGAGCTTCTGGGAAAAACTATAGATCTTGATAAGACACTAAGGTGGCTTTTGGTTTTTCATTCTGCCTGATACAACTGTGTGATGATGGAATGCTTAAAGTCACCATGGCCATGAGATACATACTAAGGATAAGAAGGAAAAAGAGCACATGAACAGGACTAGGGGTATGGCTCAAGCGGTAGAGTGCCTGCTTTGTAAACACAAAGCCCTGAGTTCAAACCCTAGTCCTATCAAAAAAAAAAAAAAAGATGAAAGAGCAGATAAACAGAACAAACCTATATTGTTCAAAGAATAACTGAGCCAGTATTACAAACCTGGAACTTCCAACCTCCAGGCTTCATGACAGGGGAGTAAATTACATTTCTCTATTGCTAATGTCCATGTAGTGGGATATTCTGGTATTTGGAGCTGAACATATCTGGATTCAGCTCTCCCTATAGACTATTCTTCAGGGAACACTTTTCTGAACATTTGTTGATTGTCTTATTCTGAAAAAACCATCAGATAACTTATCAAGCACTAGACTTTTTCTTTGACGGTTGAGTCAATTTTGAGAGGAATTATTCCTATAAACTCAGTCTGACCATTCAGGGTGAACTGGTGGTTAGGTGAGCAAGAGTTTAGCAGAAAACTGGTTGCCTACTTAGTGTCTATTTACATCTTCCTCCTTTGTAAAAGAATTTGTTTTTCCTAGCCATCTAACAAGATCCAAGGGAGGAGAGAATAACTGTTTAAGCCAATTAGCATTAGGTATTCTTCTGATAATTATTAGTGCTTCAAAAAATATATACAGCCTAATATAGCTCAATCAAACTAAAAACAGGACTTAAGAATCCATTCCTGAGGAATGGTTTCTCTCTTTTGCCAGTCTTGAAGAAAGCACATTCTTGGCTTCATCAGTCTTGGAAGGAGCTCTGAGATGAAAATAACCTGAGTCTTGGACAGCATCACTGAGCCTAAAATACCACTGCATCCAAAGCTTGCTTAACTGTGGACTTCCAGTTACATCAAAGTTTTCCTTAATGAGGTTTTCCTATTGCTTGCCTTCAAAAGCACCAGTTGTCACAGATGAAACTACTACTTCAGTTTTTATAGCCAAAGAAAGAAACACTGGGGAGTCATGAATATGAACATGAACTCTTGAGGGAAGTATCTTAGAACATCCATCACAGCATTAAGCACTCAACTTCTTTTTACGGTTCATATTCATACATTCAAGCTTTAAGCTCTCTAAAGAGTTCATATCTTATGAATCTTTGTATGCTACTTAGCATATAGTTGACATAGTGTCTTCAGTTAATGAACAAAACGGCCTCTCAGTTCTTTGAGGACAGTATGTATGTCTAATTCACATATAAATACTCACCATCTAAGGCTGTTCTTATACATAATCAGCCTTTGCTAGATACATATTAAATGAACATGTTTAAATATGTGGTTTTTATATTCAACACCTGATACAGTAAAGAACCTTGGGCTGGAATTCTAATGACCTAGACTCATACCCCAGGTCACCAGCTTTTTGGCCGGGGTGATTCCCTTTGCCTCTCTGAGCACCTGGCCTTACCTATAAAATGGGGTGACAGTTTCTTGAGTAATACCAGGCTAAGCTGTGCCCAGGGACATGGTCCTGTTCTCATTAACTTTCAAGTCAAACATTTCAAGATAACATAAAGGGGCCCACTACAGATGAACTGTGAATGTACCTGTCCTGAGTTTAGAATTACTGTAGTTCCTTTACAAATTAGGTATATCAAACTCACAAATGTTAAAAATATCAGTATGTTGCTAAGAGTGGACAGAAACAGGCACCCTCAAATACTGAGGTGCAAATGGATACTTCTAAAGATCAATCAGGCATTCTCATTCAAAGCCTTGAAAATATGATAGCCTCTGGCCCATCCTTACCTAAGTGATTAGTAAAGGACACTTGTAAGACTTTCCTATGGTGCTCCACTGCAGTGGTGTTGAAGTAGCAAAAAAGGGAAGAAAGGGAAAAAAACCCAAACAGTTGAAAGCATGCATATACTCAGGTAGAGATGTATGAAAAGGTTGCCAAAGTGGTCCTATCATAGACCGGTGGGATTTCAGGTGAGTTCCTCTTTATTTCCACAAAACCATCCAATAAAACAAAATTCCAAAAAAAAAAAAATCAGACTTTAGGTATCTGGTATGTATCTTGTCCCAAACTAATATGCAATTCTTGGAGGGCCATCTGACACATAGCAAGCACCTTATAAAACATTCTGGCTAAATTATGGTAAGATACAGAATGAATTCATACAAAGTTAATACAAATTACATTGTAGAACCATACTGATGGTAAAACATGTTATAATCTTATGAGATTTAGAAAATACAGAAAAATTTTCATTTTTGCTTTTAAAAATGTATAAATTTAGCTGGGTACAGTGGCACAAACCTATCACTCAGTGGCTGAGGCAGGAGGACCACAAGTCTGGGCTACATAGTGAGATTCCATCTCACCTCCCCCCATCCCCCAAAAAAACCCAAAAATGCACAGGAAAAGTCTGTTAACAGTATATATAAAAATTAACATCTGATGATGAGGTTAAGGATCTTCACTTTCCTTTTTGTAGACCCAGGACACAGTAAGCAGTTTGGATAACAGACTACCAAGGATCTGTACTGGGTGGGAAGTTTATTTATACCCGTCTTAAGAGTCCAAAATTCTAGTCTTCACCTAGAATACTTCTCTATAAACTATACTGTACTCACCAAAAGTACTATATCCAAATGAGTATTCAAGTTAAAATATGAATATAGAATTGAAGAATTACAGAATGCTAATGACACTAAATGCTAGGTACTACACCAAATGTTTTATATACGTTAATTAATACTCACAACCTTTTAAGTTACATATTACTTGTTTCTTTTCAGGTAAGAAAAAGACTCTAAGACACTGTGACTTATCTGATATCACATAGATGCCTGTTAAGCCTACGTTCGTCATACTTCAAAGCCATGTTCTTATGACCAATTAATTTGGTAAGAATACCAAGGAATGATTTAATTCAGCTTTTATTCTATAAAGGAAGCAATTTTCCCATCCTGTGACACATGAACATTACACATTCCCTTAGTTGTGCTCCTCTATCTTTTTGAAATTTTGAATTCAATGCACTTAAAGGCAAAATATGATCAACTACTTCATAACACTTAAGCCACTAAGAGGACCACAAGATTGCTACCAAGTGAGCTACACTCTCTTCTACTCCAGGTTACCACTGTGGCATAGCATTGGGCTGTTTGATTAGTGACTAGCCTGAGCTTAATAGTAGATAACTCACCCTCAGACACTAAACTTCTGATCTTAGTCTATGCTGCAATGTAAAGTGGCCACACACACACAATAATTATGACAAATAGTTGAGATCATCCAAGCCAAATCACCCTAATATGGTCCAAAATCTAACAAACTTTTCCAAAAGATGGAACTAGTAAAGAATAATGGTTTTAATATTAAGACCAAAGTCTTGCCCAGTTCTTGCTTTTATGAAAGCTAAAAATAAAGGGCTAGAGATGTAGCTCAAAAAAAAGGGATTTTTGTTGCTAATTTTGTTTTGTTTTGTTTTGTGACAGGGTCTTGCTATGTGACCCAAGTTGGCCTGAAACTTGCAATCTTCCTGCCTCTACCTCCTGTGTGCTAGGATTACAGGAGAGCACCATCATGGTGAGTGAAATATGAGTCAGCAAATGAATGAGATAATAAGGCTCCCATACTCATTCTGAATTGGTAAAGGGTGTTCATTCTTCCATATATATAATTTTGGAGATTTTTATTGGTCAAGAGAAATATCTACTTTCTTCTAACAACAAATATCCACAGTTCCCAGAATGACACAGTAATACAAAATAAATTCATGTTATAAGATTTGTGAGGATATGAGAGACACAAAAAGAAACACACCTGAAGACCTTTGACCAGTGTTATTTTCCTTTTTTTAATAAATTATAAATACTTTAACCATTTATCAAAGAACTTCCAAAATGGTTTAATCTTCTTCATTTTTCGGGGATTATCCATTCACAGAGTAGGCCACCTACAGAAAAGATTTATTTTAGAAAGTCAGATTTCAAACATTAAGTCAGACCTGTGGAGTTAGGGACTTAAGACCACTAGAAATGAATTCTTCAGTCAAGTATTATCAAGCAATTGCCACAACTATTTAAAACTCAGTCATAAAATAAAGACACATATTTTAAAATTCTACTTTAGCCTAATTAAAACATCCCTGAAACTGTTCATTTATACTGTTTAATCTTAAGCTTTTGTTGAGCTAAAAGCAAGATTATTTTCCTCAAAGATATCTTCCAAAAAAGGCTAAGATATTTTATTTCCACAGACATTCAACAGAAGAGACCTGAAAATCCCTCTTTGCTGATTCAAGAATGTTTGGCAAAGATCCACAAAGTGGAAGGCAGAAAGTCAGCTTAGTACACAAGTCACTTCCTGTGGAAAGTTACTCCCTTAATTCCAAGGGCAGAATAAGGGCAACCCTTTTAAAAGCCAGTTGGAAAGATCAAAAAGGGAAAGTAGCAGAGGACAGGGTGCTGGTCTAGTCTGGCAATGCCAGGCTTCTCTCCATGTAACTCTCCCTATCTGCAACCCAAGTCCCTGTCCCAGAAGATGAAGAACAATGCTAAAAACAAGATAGTTAGATCAGGTTAGCCAAATTTTGGTTGATAGGGAAATAAAACATCTAATCTTTCTTCTAGAAAGCTCAAACGAAGAGTGCACTTAAGGAAAGGTTTGAGTGGGAAAGATAACCCAAAGTGAACCCATTCAACATATTAATGATAGCAGCCCATATCATGCTTTGCTATTGACCATACATCAAAAAGGGCCATGTTGTGAAAGCCCCTGGATATAAACCTCTTGGTTATATCCCTATGTGTACAGACCTTGACAGGAGAGGCCATCTTTCTCATCTTAGCATTTTCTAGGGTCTTAATAAACATCTTTTAAAAAAGATTTGAATGGTAGAAATGACCCTTTTTCTGGATTATCTTGGGATATTTTAATAATCAGTTGTTTATTATGTAAATATAGCCTTTTAATTTGTTAGATTTTAACCTCCAAACTGGGTTTTCCAGGTTTCTTCTGATTCCTATAGGCAAAAAGATACTAGTCAGCCATTTCCTGATATTTCTAATCAGGTGTCAGGTTCGTCTACTTTCTCTTTCAGTAAGAAAGGCAAGTCATAAGATAGAAAAAACTGTTTAGAATCACTACCATCATACCTATTTTTTTCTTAGTAGTTTTCAAGACTCTGCTTTTGCTGTTAAATTGTCACATAATTTATATTTAGCATATTGCCTATTACTTCTTTGGCTTAGGTCTATAGTTAAAGAGGCTCACTTGAAAATGATCTAGGAGTGTCTAAATTACCAAGCAGGCCAGGGCCCAGGCTTGTAAATTTTAAAAATGTTCCTCAGGTGCTCTGAGGTATACCTCTGGGTTAAGAACCACTGGCTGAATATAGCCTAATTTTATACAAAGTATAAAAGAGGTACAAAAGACTTATTCCCAACCTACTGAGTTCAAGGTACAATTAAGATCTACTTTAATTAGGAATATTAAAATCTATGTAGGTTTTTCAACTGGGGAACTTTCATAATCATTGCTGGAAAGATCTAGGTTTGTGAAATACTTTTCCTTTGAAACTGTTCTCAGAAAAACATGGCCTAACAGTCTAAGAGACACCAGTTTAGTTAACTTTATCTCAGAACATTGCAGGCAGCTGTGCTGGATTTTACCCTACTGCCAGCGGCCAGGTCATATATCAATATATTTCAGAAATAGGTCTTTCTAATTAGCATTCATCATAAAGTTTTAAAATTAAAAACTAAGGTAATTTGCAATCCTAAAAATGAGTATGATGGCAATAAAAAGCCATAAAGTACAAGGATGAAATGTAAAGTGCCTGTGATGTGGTGAATATAAAAGACATGGACTTCTTCACTTGAACAAGTCTTTTCTGACTTTACTATGCCTCCATTTCCCCATGGGGGCTGGGAAAATAATACACCTGGGACCAATGGGGATCCAAACATCTGTTCCTCTTCAAAAGTATTATTATACTGAAAATGAGATTATGACAATTTGAATTCTTAGACAGGTTCCATATGGATTCATATTGTTCTTCCAATAACCAGGATTCAAAAATACACCATCAAGTTTTCTATACAATAGACTTCAACTGAATGTCTGTTGTTCACATCTCCCCAGGTATGGGCTATTAGGTTCTGGTTTCCATTTTAGAATTCATAAAACACACACACCCATCACTTAATCATCACAACAGCTCTATGAAGTACTTTGGGTATGTATTATTATCTCTACTTGACAGATGGGGAAACTAAGGTTCAGAAAGTTAAGAAGCTGTCCAAGACCACACAATGAAATTAAGTTTTCTAAATCTAAAGATTTTGCAAAAATTTTTAGACACAAAAGAAGTGTAAAGCTATCTTACTCTCTTCCCTGAAACCATAAAAGTAATGTATGCTACCTAGAACAATTACATCACCTTTATGGTTCACATGAAGTTCAAGAGAAACTTTTGTTGTTTCCAAAATAAGCATTTTTTTTTATAAACTGTCCTTTATCAAGGGAGGTTCAGCCCTAGCCAACAGCTTACACAACTGACTAGGAAGAGAGTTTGAATATGAACAAAGAAGCCATGCACAAATGTTGAGCTTCTGCATATTTGAAAGTAGTTAATACTTTTTAAGGACACACTTCTTTCAAGTTTACTTGCTTTACAAAATGATCCTCTATCGATTTTGCTTTAAATAACCATCTAGTCTAAAAGCCACTTAAGTATGCCATGTATAAGTAGTAATAGACTTACTATACTATATACACTATGGGTCTTTTTTAATAAATGAAAAAAGTGAAATCCACACAAAGATTAATGTTTTGATGAAGGCTAAACACAGATGAAGTGAAACACTACTAAACTAGACATAAATCAAAATAAAACCTCAGGACTTTCAGTCTATTTCCCACTACAGTCAGATTTCTTATCAGCTAGGGGCAAATTCCTTTACCCATTCCCTTTTTTTTTTTAAGTTTTTTTTTTTTTTCATTTTTCTTTTATTATTCATATGTGCATACAAGGCTTGGTTCATTTCTCCCCCCTGCTTTTTAAGTCATTAATAGTTTATTTTTGGTTTTTTAAAAATCTATGATTTTGCCCACTATATATATATATACACACACACATACACACACACATATATATATATATATATATATAGTATGGGATTAAAAACAAACAAATAAATAAAATTAAAAATTTCTTTAGTGGATTAAGATATAAAAAAACAAATTACTCCTGTTTTAATATATGGGAAAAACAACACTCAGTCTAGCCAAACAACTTTGGGATATTTATATTCTATTGCATAGATAGGCTTATCTCTCTTTTTTTAATACTTCAAAAAGACTGGTCATACATGAAATTCCAAAGAGACAGCAAAGAGGTGGAAGGGAAAGAAGCCAGGCTCTATTACTATTAAACTGGTATGCGGCTTTGGTATTATCTCTCAGCTATCATTAAGTTAAAAGTGGCACTGTGGTGTGGATGTTAGGATCCAAGCCTGAAAACCGAGGTCTAGTTCTGATTCTGCTTAATCCACCTCAAGAGTCCTTTATAAGTATAAGCCTTAATTCCTCATATAGTCACTCACTCATTTAATTTGCAGTTTTCTACTGAGCACCTAGTATATGCTGTGAAGTGTTCTGGATGCTGGGGATGTAACAGTGAGTAAAAAAAAATTCCTCTTCTTCAGATCTGGAGTGAGGCAATGACGATGATAAAAAAAAAATAATATGAAGGTTATGGAACTAAGAATAGAGTAGCCAATGGGTGTTGGTAGCTCATGCCTATAATCCTAGCTACTCAGGAGGCAGAGATCAGGAGGATCACAGTTCAAAGCCAGTCCCGGGCAAATAGTTCCTGAGACCCTATTTCAAAAATACCCATCACAAAAAAGGGCTGGTGGAGTGGCTCAAGGTATAGGCCCTGAGTTCAAACCCCAGTAGTGCAAAAAAAAAGAGAATAGAGTAGCCATTAGTCACACATGACTTTTAAGATTTTTCATGGCTAAAAATTCAGTTCCTGCCTCAGTAGTAAGTCAAGTGTTCCAAGGCCATGTGTGGCTACCACCTATCATACTGGAGTGCAGACAGAGAACATTTCTGTCATTCTGTCACCACAGAAAAGTTATATTTGAAAGAACTAGGACTGAGTGTTATGGAATGGATGGGGTGTTGAGGGAAAGCTTCTCAAATGAGACTTCAAAAGATGCCTGAATGAGGTAAAGGAGTAAGCAAAGTTGGTATCTGAAGCAAGAGATTCCAAACAGAAGAATCACTCCTTTGTGGTACTGTTAAATACATATCACTGAAGGTCCTTTTTAGTATTAAAATTTAAAAGTTCTTCAAAAAATGGTTTGAGGTTTTACTTTTATTAGAATGAAACATGGAATAGAAGAAACAGAAACAATTCCATTTTTGATTCCAGAAAGTACTACTTCTGAAGATCCACATTAGAAACAATAGAGAACATCTTCTGTTTAGTTCCTTTAACTTGGGAAATAGAGTATTTTGAACATCCTACAGTCATGAGTTCCTCTGTCTATGATATAATTCTAAAGGCTTCTGTCATGCCCATTCCTGAAAGCTACATACCCCCTTTCTCAAATTCACTGAATGCCTCTTGACTTATTATCATCATTGGCGAGTACCAATTGGAAAAGTTACTTTTTTTAGTGATACTTACACACGTTAGATTAATGGGACAGTACCTCTCAGACAGAATGTAGCTGCTAAATCTGTAAAGTAATACACAAATTTAAAGCAATATGCTCACCATTTCATATCTTAAATCCCAGGGCTCTCATGCACTCCTTGTGTGCCTCAATTAGATGTCCACAGTGCTCTTCTCCTTTTTCAATGATGCTAAAAAACAAAGCAGGCATAAAGTACATTAGTAAGTAACATACATGATAGTGACAGAGATTGAAGGAGAAGATGAGTATGATGGAAGGCAGCTAGAGCTTAAAAAAAAAATGCTATTATACCAAACAACTTTTATTTGATCTTGTTATAGTGCCATGCCTACAAAGATGTTCCATAGAACTAATTTTTTTTTTTCCCGGAGGGGAGATCTGATTAGAAGAAACAATTATGCACATTAAATATTGCATTTAGTCTATAACCAAGAAACAACTGCTCTCTAATGAAATAAACTGACTGAATTAAAATATTTATATTAAATGAAGGGCAGAGAAAAGAGTTCAAATTTTTTGCCTGTTATCACAGAGGAATTAACTGCTTCTGCCCTACAGTCAAACATACCTAAATAAATCTACTTCTAATCATTAAAGACCCAACCATATAAACACCAAAAAAGGTATGGTAGCCAGGAGCTGCCAGATGAATCTCCTTTTAATGATTAAAAAACTATTTCTTAATCTTTCTTTTCTTCTCCCCTGTTACTGGAGTTTGAACTCAGGGCCTAAACCTTGAGGCACTCTACCAGCCCTTTTTTGTGATGCGTTTGTTTCAAGATAGGGTCAATTTGCCCTAGCTGGCTTTGAACCATCCTTCTGATCTCTGCCTCCTGAGTAGCTAGGATTACAGGTGTGAGCCACCAGTGCCCAGCTAAAAAAACTCTTAACTGGTAAAATCACAAGGATTAGGGCTGGACATAGCAGCACATACCCAAAATCCCACCTCTTGGGAGGCTGAGGCAGGAGGATCATGAGTTTGAGGCCAGCCTGGGCTACACAGTGAGACCCTGCCTCATATAAAAAAAAATATAGATGCATATATTTTTATATACACATATAAATATGCATGTACATATACTTATATATACATATATACAAGTAATGTATATAGGACCACACAGCTTTAATCAAGTTAAGCCAAATTCGATTACAAGAAAAAACTGACTCCTGCCTACAGATATTTAAGGAAAAGCCACAGTGGTCAGACAATCCATGCAAACGCAATTTAAAGAAGGAAAAGGTTCTCCTTCCATTCTGAAATCCTTCCCATCTGCTCGGCAGATGAAAGAGGCTGCTGCGTGGGATAGTGAGCTCCTTCTGAAGATAATGGCTGGCATTCACAAGTCATTTATGACTGCTCTATCTACTGTGATAGCGCTTGATGTGGCTCTATCACCAAACCTCACGGTAATTGTGGAGGCAGTATATTTATATGGCTGATTTTACAGATATGAGTCGGATATGTTAAATAATTTTCATAAGGTCGCCAAGTTAGTGAATCAGAATTCAAACCCTGACTGCATCCCGGGCTCTTCTTAGTCATGTCATGCTACCCAAAGACTCAATAAGCACATACTGTTGTTACCATTAGAGCAACTTCAGTACCAGACTGCAATTCTCCATTTACAGCGTTATTTGCAAAGTTCTGAAAACTGATAAACTCGGCTCCTATATTTATTACCTCAGTATACCACGATGACTTCTCTACTTTTTATCTCTAGTATTTTTCTACTTCGTGAGGGCAGAAGGCTGGACAGAGGTGCACATTCACGTTATCTGAGGACTGCTAATGAGATGCATTCTACAATAGAGGTTATATAAAGTGGGAATGAACAAGAACTTCTGTGAATTGATATTCTAGATAAACGTTAAATCACCTATATTGTAGACTGGTTGATTTTTTTATCTTCTGGTTGGTTTAAAAGAGTCGAAAGGAAACGTTTCAGAAATGTAAGGAGTTTTGAGGGGGGAGGGAATCCTTAAAAATTATCAGAAGTGTTTCCTCTCTGGTCTTGCCACATCTATCATAGTCCTTGGCACGTGGTATAGCAACTACTGGTGTATGTCTCCATATATTTTATGCTCCTTTAAATCAGGGAGCATCTTTACGCATTTCTACATCTTTGGACCCAAAAGCAGTGCTAATATGCTCAAAAACTACTTGTAGGAAGGAATGAACAGACAACCCGAGCCTCGGGCCAATGTGACCTCTGTCCTGTCCCTTCACCCTTTCCCCTCTGCTCACGGAGCCCTGGGCTCAGTCGGAGCACAGAGAGCTGACTGCGAAATCTCGGGGGCCCCCTAACTCCCGGGCGCCGCACAGCAAAAGAGGGCGGAGAGCAGGAGCCGGGCCGCCCCCTCCCCGGCTGCGCACTGACCACGCATCGCGCGCCTTCTTGGTCTCCGGGCAGGCACAGCAGGGCTTCAGCGGCTTCTTCTCCTGAGACTCAGACGGGGCAGGGCTCGCGGCAGCCAGACCGGGCATCTTTCCAGCGAAAAGCAACTACGACCGCGATCACCCTAAGTTTCCCAAGCTTTGGCGAACCAAACGCAGTCACTTCCGCAGTGTCAGGAGCAGGACAGGAAGTGCGTTTCTCTTGGCCGGGGAAAGGGGGGGCGGGACCAAAGCGAGTGCGCGCGCAGAAGGGGAGGGATTAGCGTCCTCACGCGAGAACGATGCTTCTGCGCATACGCAGAAACCGACGTAAAGGTCACCGATCGCTTGAACGTGTGCGGGTGGTTCACGGAGGCTGAGAACCGCGGGACAGCAGCGCTTCTAACTTCCACGAATGTTGAAACTGAAGTCCAAGAAAGTGAAATGACCTGTTCAAGTAAAGAGAAACCACTAGTGAAAGCCAGTTCCTTTGAGTAGCGGACTAGATTCCCCTATTTCAGGCCGGGGCATTACTGAAACTGGAGTTTTGGACCCAAGGCCCGAACTCCTGAGATTCCATATGCCAGGTTCGGCCACTCTCCCGTAAATGCCAAATAAAGAAGAGGTTTATTACATGGCTGGAGACATGCTGTGGGAAGAGGCAGAGTAAGCATTCAGTTCATCTTCAGCCATCTTCCTTGGGTACAGATAAAAGTTATAGGTTGAAATAGAGAAAGTAGGGGCAAGCAGAGGACAAAAGGTATGCATAGGCCCCAGTCACCGGTGTGTTCTGGTTGATCATCATCTCAGTCCTTATTCTGGGACAGGTTCTGGGGTTGTTAATCTGGATTTATTGTCAACTGGTCCATCCTGAGGAAGGGCAACTGTTAGGAGTAGTTTCTGTCTGTTGTCATGGCCCTGTCTTTCCTGGAATCCAAGGTGGTTGCAAAGTGACTGCAAAGAGAATGGCTTAGAGCAAAGACAGATACAAAAATGGAGGACAGATGCTATGCTTTTCTATTGCTGTTAGTTAATTTGTGGCCCCAAGAAGGAGTCAGTGCTTTTTTAGCTAAAGCAGTTTGAGCACCTCTCACATTACCTGCCTTCTGCTTGTCCTCTAGGGCACCCTCCTTTCTCCCACCCAGGCCCTTCTTGTTTTTCACTGATCTTGTTGAAAATGAGTAGCAAAGACCTGAGCAATCGAATCCATGATGTTTTGAGGGGAAAGGTCCTCTAACACTATGCCTGTCCTCCATACACATCAAACTCTCAGCCACCTCCCCTCCAACTGGTTCAGTACAGATTGTTCAATCATTTATTAGTACACTAATTAATAAAATTGAAAATTACCTGTACCATGGCATTTCTTGAATTCAATTGTGTAGATAAGTAAACTGATGTCCATAGTGGTTTTCCAAACTGGTTATTTGCAATACAATGAACCTAATTTTTTTCCTGCACAAAACAGTTGGGAAAAGGGAATTAATTCATTTTTTTTTTTTGAAAGCAGGAGTTGGTGGCATTTATGCCAGGTCCAGCTCCTCACCCCATACACCAAATAAAGAGGCATGATGAAGGCAGAGAAAGGTGGTTTATTACACAGCCTGCAATAGGCAGTGGGAAGAGGCAAAGCATAGCCCATCTTCAGCCATCTTTGGGGTACAGATATGAGGTATAGGTTTAAGTAGACAGAACTGGGGGCAGAGGACAAAAAAGTATGTATAATTAAACAGTCCCAGTCACAGGTGTGTTTTGGTTGACCATTATTTCAGATTGTTCTAGGGTTCTGGAGAAGTTGTTACTGTTGTCATCACTTGAGCGGAGCAGTCTGTTTCCGGTGAGATGATTGCTCCTGCTTTAGGGTGCAGCCTCATCATTATAGGCAATTGTCCTCATTTGGAGGGGTGGTCTGTCCTGCAAGGCTGCACTGTTCCTTAGGGATAGTTTTTTCAGTACCTTGTCATAAAGATGTTATTGATCATTCCCACCCTTCCTGGATTCCATGATGGCTGCAGGAGAGAATGGCTCAGAGCAAAGGACAATAGGTACAAATTGGAGATGGAGATACCAAGCTTTTCTCTTGTTTTTAGCTAATTCATGGGCTCAAGAAGTCAGTGCTTTCCAGCAAAAGCAGTTTCAGAATCTCTCATATTTTTCTGTATTTCAGAGATTTAGCTTAGGGCATCTTTAGACACATCTGTGACTTGGTGCTGTGTAAGAGTATTTCTATATGTGTATTTACCACATTGAGACCATCCTCATTTTGTTATCTGAAATCTTAATTTTTTATTTTTTGGCCATGCTGGGGTAGGGCCTACACCTTGAGCCACTCCACCAACCCATTTTTGTGTCGGGTATTTTCGAGATAGGGTCTCTTGAACTATTAGCCTGTGGTGGCTTTGAACCTCTATCCTCTTGATCTCTGCCTCGGGAATAGCTAGGATTACAGGCACGAACCACGGGTGCCCAGCTGTTATCTGAAAACTTTAAATAGGCAAGATTTTTATTTAATTATGAATTGATATGCTTACTAGTGCAACATATTACCCTGGTGTTCTAACTTCATCTTTATTCGCTATTATCAATTCTTTGAATGACTCAAATAGTGCTTCTTGGACTACCAACATTAACATCACATGGAAATTTACTATACCATAAGTATGGTTCACTAAATTAATTAAGAAAAGAAAATAGGCTAAACATCTGGAGAAAATTAAACACTACTGCTCCTGCTGTAGTAAAGGCCATGTGTGAAAAGCCAAACTAAGAAGTCAGTAGCAAATAGTAGAGGAGCATGTCTTAATATTGAGAAGTAGGGAATGACTTATTTTACAATATCTCAAAAGCACAAATTGTAAATAAGAATGTATAATTCTAATGCATAATGGACTAAGAATGTATAACTGGTTGAAACCACATAATCTTTACTCATAATAGCGTCTATGCATATAGGACTATTGAGATTGTGACTCATCACTTAATCTCCACATCAGTTGCGATTGTTATCTATATTTATAGATAGGAAGAAACTGATCGAGGTTCAGAGATGTGCATGATTTGTTCGGGGTCCCGTAACTTGTAAGTGAGGCTCCACAATTCTCTGTGCCTTTTTATTGTTATCACACTAAATTTATCTAAATGCAAGGTGACTACTTCTTATTTCAGAATTAATCATTGATCTGTACTTGTGCTACTGAATTTTTTTGTACAGTAAATGGCTCTGACAGTTCTCTCTGTGATATCCTCAGCTTATATTGGCAGGCTTCAGGTAAAGGAGACCCTTAGGCTCTTTTAATGGCTGCTTCTTTGAAATGGAATATACTCTCTTGTCCTTGGGGGGCAGTGGGAAAGAGCAAAAGCTATTCTCTTCTAAAGTGAAGTATTTAGTTGTTTATATTCAGCTACTTAACTCTCTGCTTGTTTTATGAAGGACACAGCAAACCTACACATGTGGGTTACTTTTCCTTTTATCTTTTAATTGATAAATAAGCTAGCTTTAAGGCAATTTTAATTTTTACATCACCATTATGCCTTTCTTGCTCTGCCTTAACTCCCTGTAGACTTGTAGGATGACCTATTTGGGTATTAAATAGAAAGAGTATAAAACCTGAAAATTATTGTTTCCTATTTCACCCCAAGAAAAAGTTCATTTACCTGCTGCTTCCAAGAAAAAGAACAACAGTGTTCAAGAGCTGCCATTAGAGATTAAATTGAAAGTCGGCGGCATGTGTAAACTAAATAGTAAAAAATAAGATTCAACCATTTGTTTTATGAAGTCCATGCTGAAGTTAGTTTTGAACTTGGGACCTCATGTTTGCTAGGCAGGTGCTCTCCCACTTGAGCCACCACCCTACCAGCCCAAATTCTTGATCCTTTTTATTTTATTTTTTTTCTGTGGAGTGGGGTTTGAACTCACAGCCTACATGTTGAGCCACTCCACATCCCTTTTTTGTGATAGGTTTTTTTCAAGATAGGGTCTCTCAAACTATTTGTCTGGGCTAGCTTTGAACCTCAATCCTTCTGATCTCTGCCTCCTGAATAGCTAGGATTTCAGGTGTGAGCCATCAGTTCCCGGCAAGTTCTTGATTCTTAATTCTGATTTTAACCAGCAATACTTCACTCTTTTAAACCTCTGGGACTCATTGCTGTTACTGTCATTGTTGAATTCATAGGCAACAAGTTTGAAATAGTGACTTGAGTGGACTTTTTCATATTATAGTGAATGTGTTTATTGTACAATATTAAATGGGGATATTAGCTATATATGGCACCAAACAGCTATTCTGTGGATGGGATGACAGCCCTGGCAATGTAACATTAGGAAATGCTTTCTAAAATCCTTCCATGCTAAAAGTTCTCAGCCATTTTTAGGCCTAACTAAACCCAGGTTTGGTGATTTTACCAAGTAAGGGTGGGTTATTGAGGCTGGTGGAGAAGGAGTGACACCATATGTTGAGAGAGAAGAATTACAAGGCTTAAATTCTCATCTGTCCAGTTAATAGGTAGACTTTGTATCACCTTCTTAAGAAGCAAAGTAAGGTAATGTTTGCATAGTATTTAATGTCTGTCTCTGTGGGCTGGGGGGGAGGGGTAGGGCAGGGGGAGAAAGCTTTCCAGTTTCCCAGGTAAATATGTGCTGTGTAACAGTCTCTACAACTTTTCAAGTACATGAAGTCTGAGATTTTACTCTGCTTGCCTGTCAGTTTCATGAATGTAGGTGGAAGCCACCAAACTAGAGTCATAGGTAAAGCACAGTTTATTCCTACGGCAGCAGCAGCAGAGTATCAGCATTTCTTTGCCAGTTTCCAGAACCCCGGTTCCCACAGGGTGATGTGGGAAACTAGATGGCAAAGTGAGAGCTGAGTCTTGGAGATCCTTAAATTAGTTGGGGGATGTTAAAAAACACATCCAGTGATACTTATTAAGGCATAGTAAGGCAGAATTGTATTGAGGACCATTGTAACAGAGTCTTCCAGTGAGGGAGAGAGATTGGGCTTAATTGTGAATACAGTAAAGGGCAAGTGGTACTTTGTGGCCAAGAAGCAGAGCAGGGTCAGTGGATTGAAATTACTAAAAGGAAACATTAGGGATGTGATGGTGGCTGGAATACGAAATGCACCCCCCCTACACACACCTCCCACAAAGCTCATGCATTGAAGGCTTGGTCCCTAAAGCAGTCAGTGTTCATAGATGGGGCTTTTGGGAAATGATTAGATCACAGGGGCTCTGCTTTCATCAATGGATTAATCAACTGATGGATTCATAGTGTGAATAGACTAGTAGGAGTTGTGAAACTGAGAAAGGTTGGAGGAGGTAACTGGGAGTGTGTCTTTGAAAGGTCCCTGACCCCTTCCATCCTCTCTCTCTCTCTCTCTCTCTCTCTCTCTCTCTTCACCTTCCATTCCTCCCTTCCTCCTATCCACTATGAGGTGAGCCATTGTGCTCCACAGTCATGATGATCTGCCTCACCACAAGTAGGCCCAGAAGCAACAGAGCCAAGTGACCAGGGAATGAAACTTTTGAGACCATAAGTTGAAGTTAACCTTTCCTCCTTTAAATTGTTTCTCTCAGGTATTGGTCACAGTGCTGAAAAACTGACTAACACAACGGGTAAGGATGATTCTAGCTAAACCAACTTAAACCAACTTACCAGCATTCTTGCTAAAGGCAGGTCATGGTGTTTTGATGTCACCTGGGGAATGAGAAACCCAATTGGATATAGAAGGTAATCAGATATCAAGGATGGGGGAGGGGTGTCTTTCCAAATTGATTTAGCAGGGACCTTTACTAAAGCTGGATTTCACAAGGAAGTACACTGCTGAGTCTGGGACAAGGTTCAGGAATCTGCCCGAAGTAGATTTAGCCAAGCAAAGAGTCTTTGTCAGGGATTTAAATAGGAGAAGACATTTTAAGTTACAAAGGTTTAGAGGTAACAAAGTACATATTGATTTCCAAAAACCCCAAGAAGTTTAAAAGTAGAGACAATAAGTTAATACCAGAAGTATCTGCAGAAAAGAGAGAGGCAGTCCACCAAACATAGTGAAGTGTCTATGAAATCTCATAAAAAAGAGAAACGAAAGGGAGGGGGTATAAAGGACAATGGTGGAGGGAATGAATTCAAGTATGACATATTTAATACATTGTAAGGACTTTTGTAAATGCTACAATGTACTCCCACCCAGCACAAAAATAAAAATGCAGCTCTTAGGAGCACTACTAGCTGAATAGGGTAATTTGAATATCATAAAGAATAACCATCATAATGGATTAAAACATCAGCTAGGCAAAAATTCATGAATTCATAATGATACTATGTATAGTACACAAAAACTTTGTGGCCAACATTGGAGTTTGCTTAGAATGCTGACTCATTTCTCTGAATTCCATACTGAAAAGGAGGAATCCAGCACTTATCCTATTTATGATTTCAGGATAACCAATAAGTTGGCTTGAGAAACTTTTTGTTATAGAAGAATCCCCAAAATAAATAATTACTAGAAATTCATTGTTCCAGATTAACAAGTACCAAAATGCAACATGAGTTTTTTAGGCTCTTGAATGAAACAAACAATAATGACATCTTTGATTCAACCAGGGAAATTTGAATGCTGTAGTATTAGATTATGTGAAGGAATTACTGCTTTGTTAGATATGGTAAAGGTGGTTATCTTTTTTAAATTATCAGTTTGAGATGTAGATTAATTTAAGGGCAAGTAATATTGTAACTGAGATTTCTTCCCTCCTTTCCTCTCTCCCTCCCTTCCTTCTGGGGTTTAAACTCAGGGCTTCATGCTGGCCACACCTCCAGGGAGAGAAAGACGACTAGCCCGACGGATTGTTGGTAAATGTTGATTCTGCGCCATGGACACTTAGGGGTTCATTATGAAAAGCGGAATCACTTTTGCTCATCATTAAAAATGTCCATTATAGTTTCTAGAAGCAGAGCCAATGACAACAGCGGGTTATCTCAGTTGAGCGAAGGCTGGGGCTCAGTCAAGGTCAGCAGGGTGCGGATTAGGAGTTACTGATGCCTAGCCCACTCCGAAGGCTAGCAGGCAAATGGACCAACACTGGAGTCCTCAGGACAAGTCCCCAGAAAGGGGCTTTCCCAAATGAAAGCACCTAACTGTTCTAGAAGGTCTGAGCTTTACCAGGGATTTCCGAAAGAAGCTGCGGGAAGTAACTGACAAATCTTCGCGGGATTTCTCAAGAGCAGCCTTTTCCCCAACTTCCGGCGTTGACCCTGGGTGAACCGCTGAAAAACTTGTCGCAGGCGCCGCGGGAATTGAGGCTGTCCCTCCCCGGCCTTCCTCCTCCCGGTCTCCACGTCCGCCCTTCCTTTGCTCCATTCGCTTCCCTCCTCTTTGCTTCCTGCTCCCGGCTCCTCGCGCCCCGCCTCTCCACGCCTCGCCCCGCCCCTTATCACACCAGGCCCCGCCCATCCACGCTTCGCCCCGCCCCTTACCCTGAGCGCCCAAGGTGGTTACCATAGCTACGGTGCACACAGCTGCGAGGCTCCCTAGCTGGTCCGTAGCTGGTTGGCCGGAGGAAAGGAGCAACACCATGAGCCACGTAGTGACCATCGAGGATCCCAAGGACAACCTTCAGGGGTCTCAATACCTGTGCAGGGAGAGGTCAAGGCCCGGGGGTTACATGTTCACCAGTCGAACGTACGATTTCCTATACGGTAAGGGCTGCTCCAGACCTTCCAACAGGGTCGTGGGCCAGGTTGTGGTCCTACAGATAGAGCGACCTGGCCGGGGGCGTGGCGCACGAAAGAGGAACATCTGCACAGACCCGCTGCCTGCGGTTGTCCTTTGTTGGGTGGGGACTACTCTGAGCCCTCCAGGGACAGCGCACTCGGGTGCACGGGAAGCCGCAGGTACTCTCCCAGCCCAGCGCAGGGTCACCTTACTCTTCATTTTCCTAATAATTATCTCAGCCCTGCCTGAGCTGCCTTCCTGAAGGTACATTTTGTGCGGACATTTTGGTGTCCAAAAAAGCATGGGAGATTTCACGCAATGGTCCCACTTCCAAAATACATAAACTGCCCAACGAAAGTGACCTTCCTGCTCTTATTCTCTGGCCAATTCCAATTTTGGCATTCTAGGCAAAGAAGTACCAGTGTATCTCACGTTTATTTTTATCGATTTTCTTCAATTTTTTTCTTATATATGGTTCCTCCAGAGCCAGTAAAGCCCCAGTTTATTTTAATGCCCTGAGTTTCCATTTGTGGTCCATCTCTTCTGGACCCAGTCCTGTTCTATACATTCTTTTGTAGTCTTCTCAAGCCTACACCAGTGCTGGTACATATACTAGGTATTTCATAAATGTTAATTGAATTATTGAATTTACTGCTACAACTATGGTAGCCAGTTAAGCAGGGTGTTTTATGCCAATTTTGCCTTCAGTTGTTCCAAGCTGTCACCTGAACCTTGCTTTGTTTCTAACCATGTGGTGTGGGTTTCTCAGAGTTTCCTTTGGTAGGACATCTGTAGGATACCCATTTCCTGGCTAGGGCGTGTGTAATGAACACTAAAATATTCTGGCCAGTAGTTTTCTTTGTTCACTCTTGGTTTCATCTTAATAAATCTAGTAAACTCCTGAAAACATACCACCACGTTGTTATCAAAGGTAACTTGGGAATGTAGAAAGCCTCTTTAGCAAAGACAAGAAAAGCATTTATTAAGCCAGTTTTGTAGTTGTTTTATTTGGCAGTACTGGAGTTTGAACTCAGGGCCTTGCACTTGCTAAGCAAGCTCTGTACCACTTGAGCCTTGCCACTAGCCCTTTTTGCTCTTCTTTTTTTTTTTTCCTTATTTTTCCAATAGGGGGCTCACTTTACGCCCCGCCAGCCTGGACCAGGATCCTCTTATTTATGTTTCCTGAGTAACTGGGATGACGGGTTCATGTTACCATGTTCAGCTCTTTAATGGTTGAGATAGTGTGTTGAGAACTTTCTGGCCAGGCTGAGTTCCAAATTCCTGATCTCCACCTCCCAAGTAGCTAGGATTATAGGCATAAGCCAATACATCTGACTGCCCGTGGTTTCTTTTATTCCTAAGTATCTCTTTTGCAGAGAAATTGCTAAATTATTCTGTATCCCTTGCAGAGAATAAAAATTCATTCAGAGTAGGCCAAATGAGTGTGTATCTTACAATAAAACAGGCAGTCTCTCAGCCATTCATGGACAAGAAGCAAAGCATGCCAAGCAGTCTAGAACCTGGACAAGGACGCTCAGAACTAAGGTGCCAGGCTCCACTTCTTCTTTCTTTGACTGTGTGATCTTTTACTCAGTAGGTTATTCTATTAGAATTTAGCAAATAAAAATAGAGAATTATAGTTACATTTGAACTTCAGATAGATAAATAATATTTTAGTAAAAAATTTTCATCCCATATAATATTTGGGCCATTTAAAGAATTATCAATTGCTTATTTGAAATTCAGATTAAATTGGGCATTGTGTGTTTTATTTGGCAATTCTAGCTTTCTTTCTGTGCACATGCTTCCTTCTTCCATCTGACAGGAAGCCTTATAATTTCAATTATAAGGACAGTGGTTGGGGTGGCACACTATGTGACATCTTAATCCTGAAGCTTACCACCAGTTGTATAGAGTCTTTGTGGTTCTTAGCTGAAAATTTACCTGAGAAGGTTGGCTGGCAGCCAGCCAAACGCCAAACCATCCAGCTCATTGGCTGATCTTCTATCAGATTTATACCTGAAAGGACTGTGATGGGTGGGTATGAGTGTCAGTGATACAAATATGAGCGCCTTTGCAAGCTCCTTTACCCTTCCTACAAACCCCTGTGAGATCCATTTGTCTGGTAACATTTTTGACCTTTTATGTACTGTTCGGTCTATCTTCATTCTCTTGCTCTGTGTGTGTGTGAGTCCAGCGCCTTATCTGTGCTAGCTAAATGCTATTTCACTTGAGTTCCTTCCTCCCCAACCCTGGCCAGTTTTCTTTTACTTCATTTCTAGATAGGGTCTCATGTTTTTGCCCTAGCCAACCTTAGATCACAATCCTCCTACCTCCACCTACCCTGTAGCTGGGATTACAGGTGTGTACTACACACCTCTCTTGCAGCTTTTCATCCTTGTTAGGAATATCAAATGATTGTACCCAGTAAGTTGTTTTTGTTGGGTAACCAAAGAGTTGTTAGATTTTAGGAATTGACTCACATTATCCAAATTAAAAACCTATTTCTTTTTCTTTAATTTTTATTGTTTTATTATTCATATGTGCATACAAGGCTTGGGTCATTTCTCCCCTCTGCCCCCACCCCCTCCCTTACCACCCACTCTACCCCCCTCCCCCCAAACCCCTCAATACCCAGCAGAAACTATTTTGCCCTTAACTCTAATTTTGTTGAAGAGAGAGTATAAGCAATAATAGGAAGGAACAAGGGTTTTTGCTAGTTGAGATAAGGATAGCTACACAGGGAGTTGACTCACATTAATTTCCTGTGCATGTGTGTTACCTTCTAGGTTAATTCTTCTTGAACTAACCTTTTCTCTAGTACCTGTTCCCCTTTTCCTATTGGCCTCAGTTGCTTTTAAGGTATCTGCTTTAGTTTCTCTGCATTGAGGGCAACAAATGCTAACTAATTTTTTAAGTGTCTTACCTATCCTCACTCCTCCCTTGTGTGCTCTCGCTTTTATCATGTGCTCAAAGTCCAATCCCATTGTTGTGTTTGCCCTTGATCTAATGTCCACATATGAGGGAGAACATACGATTTTTGGTCTTTTGGGCCAGGCTAACCTCACTCAGAATGATGTTCTCCAATTCCATCAATTTACCAGCAAATGATAACATTTCGTTCTTCTTCATGGCTGCATAAAATTCCATTGTGTGTAGATACCACATTTTCTTAATCCATTCGTCAGTAGTGGGGCATCTTGGCTTTTTCCATAACTTGGCTATTGTGAATAGTGCCGCAATAAGCATGGATGTGCAGGTGCCTCTGGAGTAACCTGTGTCAGTCTTTTGGGTATATCCCCAAGAGTGGTATTGCTGGATCAAATGGTAGCTCAATGTCTAGCTTTTTAAGTAGCCTCCAAATTTTTTTCCAGAGTGGTTGTACTAGTTTACATTCCCACCAACAGTGTAAGAGGGTTCCTTTTTCCCCGCATCCTTGCCAACACCTGTTGGTGGTGGTGTTGCTAATGATGGCTATTCTCACAGGGGTGAGGTGGAACCTTAGTGTGGTTTTAATTTGCATTTCCTTTATTGCTAGAGATGGTGAGCATTTTTGCATGTGTTTTTTAGCCATTTGAATTTCTTCTTTTGAGAAAGTTCTGTTTAGTTCACTTGCCCATTTCTTTATTGGTTCATTAATTTTGGGAGAATTTAGTTTTTAAAGTTCCCTATATATTCTGGTTATCGGTCCTTTGTCTGATGTGTAGCTGGCAAATATTTTCTCCCACTCTGTGGGTGTTCTCTTCAGTTTAGAGACCATTTCTTTTGTTGAGCAGAAGCTTTTTAGTTTTACGAGGTCCCATTTATCTATGCTATCTCTTAGTTGCTGTGCTGTGGTTTGGTGCTGCCTGTCTTTTCATGGTTAAGTTGGGTTTCACTTTCTGTGTGCAGAATCCCTTGAAGAATCTTTTGTAGTGGTGGCTTTGTGGTCACATATTGTTTTAGTTTCTGCTGATCATGGAAGACTTTTATTGCTCCATCTATTTTGAATGATAGTTTTGCTGGGTAGAGTATCCTGGGGTTGAAGTTATTTTCATTCAGTGCCCGGAAGATCTCACCCCACGCTCTTCTTGCTTTTAATGTTTCTGTTGAGAAGTCTGCTGTGATTTTGATGGGTTTACCTTTGTATGTTATTTGTTTTTTCTCTCTTACAGCCTTCACTATTCTTTCCCTAGTTTCTGTACTTGTTGTTTTAATGATGATATGTCGTGGAGTAGTTCTATTTTGATCTGGTCTGTTTGGTGTCCTGGAGGCCTCTTGCATCTGTATGGAAATATCTTTCTCTAGATTTGGGAAATTTTCCATTACTATTTTGTTGAATAGATTACACATTCCCTTCGCTTGCACCTCTTCTCCTTCTTCGATGCCCATGATTCTCAAGTTTGGTCTTTTGATGGAGTCGGTGAGTTCTTGCATTTTCTTTTCACAGGTCTTGAGTTGTTTAATTAATAGTTCTTCGGTTTTTCCTTTAATTACCATTTCATCTTCAAGTTCTGAGATTCTGTCTTCTGTTTGTTCTGTTCTGCTGGATTGGCCTTTCATTTTGTTTTGCAGTTCTGTTTCGTTCTTTTTTCTGAGGTTTTCCATATCCTGGGTGGTTTCCTCTTTAATGTTGTCTATTTTTGTCCTGAGTTCATTTATCTGTTTATTAATCGTGTTCTCTGTTTCACTTTGGTGTTTATACAGTGCTTCTATGGTTTCATTTATTTCTTCTTTTGCTTTTTCAAATTCTCTATTTTTGTTGTCTTAGAATTTCTTGAGTGTCTCCTGTACATTTTGGTTGACCCTATCCAGTATCATCTCTATAAAATTCTCATTGAGTACCTGTAGTATGTCTTCTTTTAAATTATTCTTGTAGGCTTCATTGGGTCCTTTGGCATAGTTTATCTTCATTTTGTTGGAGTCTGGATCTGAGTATGTGTTTTCTTCATTTCCCCCTGGTTCCTGTACTAATTTTTTGCTGTCTTCCCATCCTTCCCTTGATATTGTTACTGTGTGCAATTAAGTATTTCTGGCTTGTAATAATAGTACTAGTGATATTTAGAATGGAAGTGTGGGAGGGGATGGAAAGCAAAGAAGTTAAAGGAAAAGGGAAAAAACAAATGATCAAGTAGAAAAAAAAACAAAGAAACAAAAAAAGTTTCAAAGATATAAACAGGCTGAGACAGTGTACTAGTCAACTGTAAGCTTGTCCACGTCTTCCCAAGCCGTCTGGGCGTGGGCGACTGGCGGCCCGGGGCCCCTCCTGCTTTCTCCGTTTAGCATGAAGTGGAGACTCTGCGCCAGCTGGAGGTGTGGAGGGGTCAAAGTTTTGCCTCTTCTCGGTGGCCTTGCCTGCAAGGTGTGTCTCCAGCATTTCTCCAAGATTTCACTGTAGGAGGTATGCTTTCTGCTTCCTCCCTCTAGCCACCATCTTGGAATCTCTGAAAAAAAAACCTATTTCTAAATCAATACCAATTTATTAATTTCTGTGGACAAATTATGTCTCCAAGTTGTTGAGACTAGCTGGTGAGGGTATTGTTTTCCTAGAGATAAATCTACTTCGGAATCAAGTCTCCAAGTGAAGCCTGCTTGTGAGTTTAGTGCCACATTGGTTTATCTTTTTTTTTTTTTTGTCAGCTCTGGAATTCAAGCTCAGGGCCTCATGCTTGCTAGGCAGGTATTCATCACTTTATCACTTGAGCCACTCTGCCAGCCTCCCCCATCCCCTTTTTGTGATGGGTTTATTTTTGAGATAGGGTCTCTCAAACTATTTGCCTGAGGCTGGCTTCGAACCTCCATCCTCCTGATCTCTGCTTCCTGAGCAGCTAAGATTATAGGTGTGAGCCACCAGTGACTGGCTCAAAACGGTTGATCTTAACGGATCAATCACCAATCCTCTTCATCATTAAAGATATACCTAATAGCAGATACTTATAACAGCAGGTTAATCTTTTGTTGAAATTTGGAGAGAGCACTTAATCCCATCATCAGCATATAGTACTTATAAACTTAAGCGGGGACTTCTGAAGATCCCTGGTCCTACTTATTTCTTATTATAGAGTGACATTTTTTTTACCATGTCTACCAATTCTGAGCTGTCATGCTGTTTGCATCTTTATAGTGCTCTGACTGTGGGAAATTGTGCCTACATTTATTCTTTCATCTGTAAAGGAGCATAGTGCATATATGCAAGGTTTTTCCTCCTCAAGATTTAATAGACTCTCCCTAGTTGATGGGACAGAGTATCAGAACCGTGAGCTGTTATAGAGTTAGGGAATATCTAACATTGCTAATTAGGAAATTATAAGCCAGGCACAGTCTGTAGTCCCTCCTGCCTACTCTGAAACTGAGGCCAGAAAATCACCTGAGCCCAGGAGTTCAAGAGGGAGAGATGGGAGGGACAGAGGGCAAAGGGAGGGAAGGAGGGATAAATGACATTGCTTTGCTGTCATTCCTACCCAAAGTGTTGATATGTTCTGTTCCTCATGCTGCTTTCCCATTTGTTTCGTAGATCCTTTATTTATTGTGTCAAGTGAGAAAGACCATGCACAGGCAAACATCCAAGCCACCCTGATTCGAAGCAGACTGGTGAGTGTGATGCATATACTAGGCAAGCTAGTGTGTCAGGTGACTACTCACTGAACCCCATCAGTTCTAGTCTGCAGAAATGCCTATGATCATTGAGGGGAGCAGGCACGTTTACATTTGTGGTCCATTGTGAGATTTCATTAACTAGCAGAGAATAAAGGACCCCTAAACTAATTTGTTTCAGTGGAAACTAATCTGCCTGAGCTTGTGTTAGAGAATTCAAGTCTTACAAAAGTGTATATAGTGTGAAGTAATTCTAGCTCTAGCCCCTGCCACATAAACAGCCATTGTCGTCAGTTTCTTGAGCATCTTTTTCGAGATATTCATTTATTTGCTTTTGAGACTAGGCTGGTCTCAAATTCTCGATCCTTCTGCCATATACATTGTACTGTATGCATTGTTTTGTACCTTTAAAAAATTTTTATAGTAAAATTAAAATGCTTTAGAAAATCTGATGATATAATGTTCACCTTTTCCTCCCTGCTTTCCTTTCTTAACATTAGAGAAAAGTCCCCAGGTTTCAAAGCATGTTCAGTAACCTGATCCATTACCCAAGCTATTCTCTGTACTGGAACAACTCAGATCCTGTCCCACCGTGTATCAGTAGAGAGTGGCAGGGACACAAGGCTAAGCCGCGAGAAGCCCTCCTGCAGCTTGCTGCGTAAGTGTTGGGGAACTCCAGCTCCTAAAAAATACTCATATTTTCAATGAACGTTTTTATTTAAAAATCTTTTTATTTATTTACTCTGAATGATTTGAAAATGCATGGCTGTGAAGGAAACCCCTGTTTCTAAAACAAGCTTGATTAAGGAGCAAGGGTTAGACATTTATTGGTTTGTAGAAATTCTCAGAATGTTAGGTGAATATTTAGGCATATATTAAATGACAATGTGCCACTAAAGACATGGTGGCTGAGTTTGTGGTTCCTTTGATTCATCTTAGATATCGCAAGTGCTCTTTTCTCAGGTGTCTAAAATATACCTTCAAAGTAAAATCTCTTGAAATACTTATTTTTAAAACTACTTACATTCATGTATGTAAATGGAAAAATAAGACCTGTTAAAACTATTCTAAAAATGGGGGTGGGGAGAATGATCGAGGGGGCGAATTCAACTATGATATATTGTAAGAAGTTTTGTAAATACCATAATGTACCCCCAGTGCAACAATAATATAAATAAATAAATAAACCAAAAAAATTACTTACAAGTTCATATTTAGTAATTAGCAAATAATGATAATATTCTCCAGCCTGGACATAAAAATTATATTTTGAAACATTATTCTCATGTGCTTTGAATTGAAATGGGCATATTTGGGCGTACTTTCATAAATCTACTCATTTCTCCACGCTGACTTCCTCTCACTAGGTCCTGGCTTCATGGCTCGGGTGAAGTAATTGTATGTCGTCTAAGATGCAGCCAGTCAGATGCGTGGTACAGAAGACTTTGCTGTCAGTGTGAGGCACTCTATGTGTCTCCTACTGGACAGGTGTAGAAATTTTAAGTGGAAATTATATATGGAAATGATAAACTTGCATAACATTTTCCTGTTTCATTTTAGAACGAACGCTTCTTTTCAGATGCCGAAAGAAGTTTATGAAGATCCTGAAGTTACTGGAAGGAATCGCTATAAATACTTTGACAGGTATAAAGTAATGACTGATGAGCACGTGAGTCCTGATTTTGTTAGAAAGTCTCTTTATAATCAGAATGGCAGCTATCTTCTGTGTGTGTGTGTGGTACTGGGGTTTGAACTCAGAGTCAGGGCTTACACCTTGAGTCATACCACCAGTCCTTTCTTGAGATGGGTTTTTTTTGAGATAGGGTCTTGTGAACTATTTGCCCAGGCTGGCTTTGAAATATAATCCTCGTGATCTCTGCCTCTTGAGTAGCTAGGATTACAGGCGTGAACCACTGGGGCCCAGCTGGAATTTGCATTTTAAACAAGATGCTCCTCCCCTAGTGATTTTCTGTATGCCAAAGTTATGAGCATTACTCATGTATGCAATAGGTGAGCTCATGGAGTTTAAGGAACAGATATTAAAATTAGAAGAAAGCATAGAGTTCACCCAAGGCAAAAATCTCACACATCTGTTCTCTTCTTCCAGGCCCTTCCTTCCATTTGTTCAACAGGTACCACTCAATGTTGTTTTTGCAGAAACCAAGTAAGTGACTATTAATTACTTCAAATTTCTTTTCAACTTATTATTTACTTCCACATTTGCTTTTAAAAGATAGTTTCCTTAAGTCAATTCTTTCTTTTTTTGTGGTACTGGGTTTTGAACTCTGGGTTTCATGCTCGCTAGGCAGGCATTCTAGTTAGTGCTTGAACCATACCTCCAGCCCAAGTCAATATTTTTCAAGCTGTGAATCACAGACTATTAGAAGGCAAATAAGAGCCCTCATCCCTTCAGAAATTTTCTATATGACAAAGCTTGAGTATTTCTGATATATGGGATATTCAATGAATATGGGTTATTCATTGATTTTTCTAGTGGATCATAAGCAAAATCTAAAAAAAAGTACTGAACAGAAAATAACCAAAGCATCAGGCATATGGAGGGCACACTGTTTTTTTTTCTTCTACCTTTCATTTAAGGTGTGTGTGTGTGTGTATGCCTATGCTTATACATATATAATGGATTATGGTATAAATGTATTTCTTATTATAGGTTGGTATCTGTGCTGCTATAATAAAATACCTCAGACTGGGTAATTTATAAGTACTAGAAATTTATTTCTCACAGTTCTGGAGGCTGGGAAGTTCAAGATCACCAGCACTCAGTGTCTGGTGAGGCCTTTTTGCTGTGTCCTTAGGTGGCAGAGGGGGTATATGCTATCTTCTCATGTGGTGGGAGATGGAAGGGTGAAAAGGGCATAGTTAGTTATGCCCTAATCCATTTATGAGAGTGTGTTGCTTCCCAAGAAGGCCCCACTCTTAATATCATCAAAATGGAGATTAAGTTTCAACATGAATTTTGGAGGGGCATACGTTCAAACAGTAGCAGCTTTTTTTTTTTTTTTTTTTTTTTTTTTTTTTTTTTTTGCAGTACTGAGGCTTCAACTCAGGGCCTACACCTTGATCCACTCCACCAGCCTATTTTCAAGATCGGGTCTCGAGAACTATTTCCCTAGGCTGGCTTTGAACAGTGATCCTCCTGATTACTGCCTCCTGAATAACTCGGATTAAAGGCGTGAGCCACCAGCGCCTGTCCAATAGCAGCTGTTTTATAAAAGCAGTTGGAAAATGCTTTAAATGTTCCATTTGCTTCCCTGACACACACACTTGGTGACAATTCTTTATCACGTTACCAGGAAAACTAATCAGTCATAAAATATTTTTGGAATGCTAGAAGTTTATGATTTAATGATCATCTTGCCTATGCAAGGTATGTGCTATATAAAGAAAAGATGAATCAGACGTGGTTTCTGCTGCATAAGGAAAGGACCATCGTGAGAGAGTGCAGAGGCTGAATCTGGGAAAAGTGACTTTAATTTTAGGGCATGACAGCAGGTTAAGTAGAGTATTCCTTTAGTTTATTTGTGTGTTTTTTTGGCAGAACTGGGAATTGAACTCAGAGCCCCCTTCTTGCTCACCAAATGCTCTACCACTTGAACCACACATGCAGTTCTAAAAGTTTAGTTTTTGCTATACTCTTTCCTATGTCAATATAATTTAATATGATAAAGGAAGGTAAAAAGTCAAGATATTCATGAAATGATCAAGGAAAATGTCTTCTTTTGAAGACTCAACTTCTGAATAGAAAATGTACTTAGGGCTAGGTTTCAGGCAAGACATTTAAGGAATATAGTTATTCCTAATGTATAATATAAATGTGTTATATTTTAATAAAATGTGTAATACTTTATAAAGAGGACATGAGCTATCAAATGTAATCCTCAAAGTAAATGTCAATTATGATCTTATTTCTCCCTTGCTTTTTAAGACTGTGAGGTGGAGAACATATTCCTTGTTCTCCCAGATGGAGTAACTCTGTGAAGTGCCAGTTTCCCCAGAGACATCTGTAGACTTGAGTCCTGTGAAGTGTGTTGTGGGAGTGAAGAGGGAGCTTTGAGATGGGTAGAACTCTCCCCTGTCATTCTTTAAAAAGCTGGTTCACTGGATCATTTGTTTTGAGGTCGTAGTTGCTTCAGATCTAAGTTATTAAACTGACTATAGGGAGTTCAAGGCCTTCAGTAGTTAACACCTTCTTCTTTATAACTGTGACATAAGGGAAGCTTCTTTCCAAGACTTAAACAATGGCAGCTGGCCTTCTGCAGCTGTGCCCTTGCATGGCTAGCTGTTGGACTCTTGAATTCTATGTAAGCATCTTGGCATGTAGAATAAGAAGTGAGTACTTCAAAACCATTAATGGCTTCTTGAATTCAAACTCCAGTAGCACCAAAAAAATTCAATAATAATATTCATAATGACAGAATAGAATCTGCTAGGTCTGCAAAGCCCCTCTTTGTGAGAGCAGCTCTACTAATCTAGGAGACTGTGATTGTGGTAGACAGGGTCTGCTCCTGGTGCCTGGGCTGTGGTGATGGAGGAGGAGGAGGACCTGGATAGAGGACATAGAGCCACAGTGGCTTCTGGAAGAATTCCATAGCCAGAGCATATGACCCTGCCAGGACACAGCAGGGGTCAAGCTGATCAGGGAGCAGATGTGGTTTTCTGGGTCTGAGTCAAGTTTGGGGAGGAGGTAGGGAAAGGATCCCTGGTCTTTCTCACTTATATTTTTATTCTCCCCTAAAGCCAACTGAAATGGGGAAAAGAATAGGCTGAAGAAAATTAAGACTTGGGTCATTTTTCCCCCCTGCCTTGGGAGAAATGACCCAAGCCTTGTATGCACGTATGAATAATAAAACAATAAAAAAAAAAGAAAATTAAGAAATTGTTTTGGTCATTTCTTTTAAGTTTCCAGCTTTTGAGCCATGTTTAAAAAGATCTTTAGTTTGGGTTATAATACACATATGCATGGAAATGTCACAATGAAACACCCTGTATAGCTATTTTAAACAAACAAAAATGTCATTTCTTTCTTCTTCTTTTTTTTTACAAAAACAGAGGACAGGAAGGAAAAACAGGTTCTGTCTGGGGTTGGTACCGGTGGGAGGGAGGAGGATATAAGAAAGGAGTTTAGGAGGATGAATATGGTTGAAATATCATGTACTCATGTATGTAAATGAAAAAATGAAACCTTTTGAAACTATTCCAGGAATGGGAGGAAAGGGGATAAAGGAGAATGATGGAGGGGTGTATTCAACTATGATACATTGTAAGAACTTTTCTAAATGTCACATTGTACCCCCCAGTACAACAATAATAAAAAGACCTTTATATGAAGATAATATAAATATTTACTTATGCATTCTATTAATGCTTTTATAGTCTCATTTTTAAATTAGATTTTTAAATGATCAGAATTAATTTCTGTGAAGAGATGCAGTAACTTTTCCACATGCTGAGATAGTATCCCAGCATTAATTGAGTTACCCTGTGAAAGAGGCAAGCAGGCTTGCTTCCTTCACAGAAAGCACTTTTTCTCTTTCCTCTGCTCCTATATTTCTGGAGAGAAGCAGCTAAGTCAGGTATGTAACTGAAAACAGGGATGAAACCACTGTATGTAGCAATTCTGAATAGGCCCAAAAGTGCTGTACAACATGCAAAAATCTGTCTTTTATAGCTCTGCACTACAACCTTGCCCAATGACACACCAATAGACACTTTTGTGACTAGAGCAAGGTATTTATTTCCACTCAGTTTCTTGGAAGAAGTGAGAATAACAAGACAATTCTGTCAAGATTTGGGGCATAATCCTGGTTAACTGGATTCATAACTTTATACCATCAGCATTTGAAGGGGGGAGTGGACTTAGTGATGTTCGAGGATTTATTTCGACATGACTGTATAACATTTTAAATGATCATTTTGAGTTTCAATTTTTAAACTAATTTTCCCCTTGTAGGATAGCACCATATGTTTTTTCTCCTGCTACTTCTGGGTACCCACCCGTCCCTTCCAAGTCTACTGTGGGCACTCAGACTGACTATCGTGATGCCGATGCTCAAACAGATCCTTACTCTCCAGAATATGTAGTGTGTCAGGACACTATCCCTGAGCTCTTGACCCTGGCTGCTCTGACGTGGGGTGAGTTGACAATTCTCTTAGACTATTTCCAGATCACAATTCTAATAACTGTGAGTGCTATTGAGTTCCTAGAAATGACATACATAACGGCAATGCCAGTTTCTAGAGTAAAGAGATAACCATGGATGGGGTATGCAAAATATTTGAACATGGTACATCAGATAAAGGACTAATAGCTAAAATATACAAGGAACTCGAATTATTCAATAACCAGAAAACATGACTCTATTGAAAGTGGGCAAAGTACATAAATAGACATTTCTCAAAAGAAGACATATAAGTGGCCAACAGATAAATGAAAAAAATGAAGACAAATTCCAGAACACAATATACTAAGGTAAAACAAGACAAAAGAAAAAGAAGAATCTTGTGAGATGGGATTATAAGATCCAGACAGTAAGGTCAGGGAATGATAGAGAAGCAATGCAAGAAAAGACAATTTCCAAAGAATTTACCAGAACCGAAAAAGGACATGAGCCTTCACAAAGAAAAGTCCCATTGAGTAAGATGCAGGATCAACTTTAAGGATTCACTCTACAAATAGAAGAAAAAAAGTATGAAAGTTATTAGAGAGAGAAGTGATATTATCTATAAAGGAAAAATACCAGACCAACATTTCATTGTGTAATTTTTTTTTTTTTGGTGGTACTGGGGCTTGAACTCAGGGCCTACACCTTGAGTCACTCCACCATCTCTTTTTTTGTGAAGGGTTTTTTTGAGATAGGGTCTTGTGAAACTATTTGCCTGGTCTGGCTTCGAACCACAATCCTCCTGATTTCTGCCTCCTGAATAGCTAGGATTACAGGCATGGGCCACCAGTGTCTGGGTTGTATAATCTTTAAGGTGTCATGAGACGATAAGACAAATCTAGAATTTTTTTTATTAGCCAAGCTATTTTTAAAGAATGAGAATGAAATTTAGACATTTTCATATATAACAAAAGTATCTATTTCAAAGGCTGTTATAAGGATTAAATAAATTTATTTATGTAATGTGCTTATATCTACAACCCAGAAGTTTCATTCCTAGCTACATACCAAAGAAAAATGAATACAAAATTCTAAGAACAGAAATGCATAAGTGTATTCACCAAAAGACATGTACATGTTCATGGTGGCACTATTCATAATAATTCCAGACTGAAAAGAACCCAAATGCTCATCAACCATAGAGTAGGTGAATGAAGTACTGTACATTCATCAGCGGAATGCTGCGTAGTAATGAGATTCACATATGTGAGCGAATCTCACATATATGGTGCTCAATAAATGAAGTGAGATAGAGAAGACCACCTACACTCTGATTCTGTTTACGTAAAACTCAAAACCAATTCAAAGTAAATTAATTTGTTAGATAGGAGAATGGTCATTCTCCTTGGTAGAGACTGGGAAAGGAGTCTGATAGGCAGTGTAGCATTCTGGTAATATTCTGTTCTGGATCTGGATGCTGGTTATATGGGATGTTCATTTTTGCATCTTTCTGCATGTGTAGTATGCATTAATCAAAGATTTACATAAAGATAAGTAAAAAAGCCTGGGAGTATAGCACACTAGTAGAGTGCTTGCCTAGCATGTGTGAGGTCCTGGGTTTGATTCCCAGTAAAGAAAGACAGACAGATACGCACACACACACACACACACACAGAGAGAGAGAGAGAGAGAGAGAGAGAGAGAAGTGATAAGTAATGATACTGAAAAAGGACGACACTGAGCACAAAAATTGAGTGTTCGCTATGTACCAAGAACTGTTGCAAGTGTTTTACATTTTTAATTTATTTAATCCTTACAGATTAAGTGAATACTAAAGTGAAAATCACTTAATAAACATGCAGGGCATTAATGGAGAAAATTTTATATGGTTCTTTAGCAATACATGTGTTTATGAATGGGAAAATTCATGCTTAGGTAGATAGGATCTCTCCCCCCAAAATCTGTACCTTGGAACAATTCTGATCCATATTCCTACCCCTTCCTGAACTATGCTTGTATAGATTAGTATTTTTTCTCTTCTCTTCCCCCAAATTATGCAAAAGCAACAAGAGCAGCAACAAAACCCACACAAACTCCATTTTCAGATAAAAAAGTAAAACATACATAATCTACGAACTACTAAGTATTTGTAAAGACTACAAAAAGCAACTGAGATAGGCAGAAGCAACATGGGAGGAAGTGAGGAAACAGACCAGGAGAGGAGCTGTCAGGGAATCTCAGAAGACACCAGCAAAAATGTGCTTCCTGAAGGTAAATTTGGCAGAATCCAGAATTAAAGTAATCACATTTTATGATCTAGCTAGCATTTCCACTTCTGAGAAGCCTAGGGAAGCTCACGTATGTGCACAATGAGACCAACACTGGGACATTTGTTATGCATAATCAAAAAATTAGAAGCAATCTCAATGTCCATCTGAGAAGAGAGCTTAAATTGTGAAGATTTAAATGGCCAAGTCTCCCAAAAAAGCTGAGTAAAAAAGGCAAGTTTCAGAATGATACATGCAGTAGAATACTATATATGCAAACATCAAATAAAAAATAATGCTGTACTAAGTTTTTATGGAGTTCACTTTTCATATTTGAGCCAAATCTGGTTTCTGGTCCCTTCTTGTTTCTATTAGAAAAGGTATATACTGTAGGCATAAGGATACAAAGCTGAGACTACCAAATTCAAATCCCCACTTCTTCCTCTTGGCAGCTGTGCCCTTGTGCAAGTTACTTCACCTTTTAGCTGCTTAGTCAGTCTCCTGGTGTGCAAAACAGGAATAATTGCTGAGGATCAGATGAATTAGAACAGTTCTTGATATAATTTAAATGCTCAAGAAGTGTTAGCGTTTATAAGTCATTGGTACGTAAATCTATATAAAATGCTAAGGCTGTCTGGAAAGAGAGTTCTAAGTTTATTTTTGTATCTATATTAGGAAAGGGGGAAGGGAATGGGGCACACTATGGTAATGAGAAGAAAGATGAACTTTATTTTTGAACTTTATTTTTAATCTTTTTTTATTAAAAGGCAAAATATATATGACAGAATATGTGTATAGTTGTTAACTCTGAGTATTTATATTATTTTCAAACTTTTTGTTCTTTTAATTACCAAAGAAAATTCCACACAAAATTATACTGTATGTATACTTCCATATGTTTAATATTTACATATCTATTGCACATGGGATTATTCAGTTCTTTACACATATATATGTAAGGTAAAAAATGAATTGATAGGACACCCACTAAATATATGCTGTAATTGCTTCTGGAAAGGTGATCATGATGAGCAGGCAGAGGATAGGAGAATTTTAGCTGCCTCCCATAATGTCCTAATTTTATTTTATTTAAAAATTTTATTTTGTTATTTGCTTAATTTACTTTTTAAGATTGGAAATATTTATTTTTAAATTTATTTTTATTTTTAAAAATATTTTTTATTCTATTATTGTCATACTAGGGGTACATTGTGATATTTGCAGAAGTGCTGACAATATGTTTAAATTCTCCCTCTCAAACATTTTCCTTTATCCTCCTCCCCATTCCTGGAATAGTTTCAACAGGTCTTATTTTTCCGTTTTCATACGTGAGTTGTAATGTCCTAATTTTAAAAAACAGTGAATTCATATATTACTTGCTTTTGAAAAATATAAACACAAAAAATTTGAAACAAATAAAGCAAAAACTTGCAAAGTAGCTTATTGTATTTAGTAGAATTTGACTTTTTATATCTTTATACTTTTCTGTATAATTATTTTTTAGGATGAAAGTAAAACAAAAGTTGGTTTATTGGGAGTTCAGTGATCAGGTAGGAAACTTATTCTAGCCCCATTTCCTTTAGCAGTGCTTGGTCCAGAGAGATGACACAGTAAATCAAAGCCACATTGAGACATGCCAGTCACCTGAGTGTGACTGGGTCCCCAAAACTTGGTCCAAGGAGGCATAAATTGGTCAGGTCTCAGCCAGTGTCTCTGAGCTGGTCAGGAGGTTGAAGATCCCACCCACCTGCCTCACTTGGGGGTCTTTGAATTCTTAAAATTGGAAGAGAGAGACAACTCAAAGCCACGATGGTCAAAGGCCACGATGATGAATTCTCAGCTATGATTATTCCTTCAGCATCTGCTGTTTTTAAAAAATATTTGTTTTTTACCTCATACAACATCTCCCGACCTCTCGTCATATTTCCCCTCAGGACTTTGGTAATCTTTGCATTTCTCCAGTACAGGACATTACAAAGTACAGTTATCCGCTGGTCACATATATTTCTCAAATGCTTTCCAGTGTCTTACGGGCAGTGAAAACATCTCGTGGCTCAGTCAGTAGCAAGAGTTGGCACAGGACACAGCTGTGAGGCACATCCGGAGGACCTTTCCTATTAGTCTTTCATCCTGTCATAGCCCTTGAGTTCAGAGAAGAGGACAGGAGTAGATTACATCCTGGTGGCATATGGCTTTGCCCATCTATTCCTAAGGTGTGACATCTCTTCCTGTAGGGCGAGGTCTCCCAGCAGGACAGGCTGAGGTGGAGATGATAGAACGAGCTCGGGAGAAACGTGCTTGGGAAGCCAGTCTGCCGCCTCTGAGTGACACCTTCCAGTTTGAGAAGAGGAGGAAGATGATGAACGCTATGGAGAGGAAGGAGTGGGCTTTCAGAGAACAAGAGATTGAGAAGTATGTTCTCTGTCACTTAACAACTGTCTTTGCCCTGACTGGTGTAATGGTCATACTTTCTTTAAAATCTATAAAGCCTTTTCCCATATGTCTGGCTTAAAAGCCATCCTCAACCTAGGGAGCTAGGAGATTGGGTTTCATTTCTTTCAGGAGCAATCACACATTCCTGATGTGGTATGAGAGTGCTCCAGTTTTCTCTCCGGTAACATGGAAAGTGGGGGATGCCCCCAGCGTGTGAAGTTCAGCACGTAACTCAGATTCCAGCACTCCTCCCAGGCCTTTCTGATTCTTCTCTTCTTTTTTTATTAAGTACCCATCTAGATGGTCACAGAATTCTGATGATTCCTGCAAAACCTCTTCAAACTGTCCCTTTGTGTTCATACCAGGTTCCACCGTCTCTTGCTCTCAAGCCTCTTCAGAGCCCAACAAATAGCCTCCTAGCCAGTCCTATCCCTTAGTCCCCTGGCACTGGACTCACAGTTAGGACACCTGGATTTTAGCTGGAGCTGATGGTGCATTTCCTATTTGAAAGGCAAGCTGTAGACCTCTTCCATTAAGAGATGAGCTTAGTTGACACTATGCATGATTAACAACACGCTGAGGCTCTTCCACTTGAGCTTTCAGTCATTGTAACTGATAGAATTTTGGTAACAAGGTTGTTGCTGATTTGTAGAAATAATGAGAAGTTGTAAGAACCCAAAATTACAAGTTCCCAAAAAGGAAAGCAAGGGCCCTTGTCTTTGTTCTAGGCCATGATGGGGTATTTTATTGACCAAGCAATGCTTCCAAGTCTCCTTATAAATGAGAGTTAGAGACCAAGGGACCAAACTCAGCTTAGTATTGAATTGAAAGCATGTGCATGTGTGTTCATTTTTTTTTCTTGCAATACCTTCTGATTAAGCTTGAATCCAGACTATGTGACGTTTTGGTAAAGGCTAGAAATTTGCTAGAAAATAGTGGGTGAGGCAAAGTAGGTATCAAGTTATCCAGTCTTGTTTGCAGAAATTTTAATTTATTGCTGTACTGTGGAGAGGACTATTCCTTGTCAGAAGGCACTGAAGACATTAAGAATGTATCTGGCCAGTTGAAGGTGTCACTGGAGAAAGGGCGTATATTTGTTAAACTGAAGACAATTTCAATAAACATATATATTTTTTTAAAGGAGTGATAACCTTTTTATTTTTATTTATTTATTTTCTTTTATTCATATGTGCATACAATGTTTGGGTCATTTCTCCCCCCTTCCTCCTGCCCCCTCCCTTACCTCCCTGCCCCCTCCCTCTCCTTTCTACCCCCTCGCTACCAGGCAGAAACTATTTTGCTCTTATGTCTAATTTTGTTGAAGAGAGAGTATAAGCAATAATAGGAAGGAACAAGGGTTTTTGCTAGTTGAGATAAGGATAGCTATACAGGGAGTTGACTTGCATTGCTTTCCTGTGCATGTGTGTTACCTTCTAAATTAATTCTTCTCAAACTAATCTTTTCTCTAGTTCCTGGTTCCCTTCTCCTATTGGCCTCTGTTGCTTTAAAGTATCTGCTTTAGTTTCTCTGCATTGAGGGCAACAAATGCTATCTAGTTTTTTGGGTGTCTTACCTATCCTCATACCTCCCAAGTGTGCTGTCACTTTATCATGTGATCAAAGTCCAGTCCCCTTGTTGTGTTTGCCCGTGATCTAATGTCCACATATGAGGGAGAACATATGATTTTTGGTCTTTTGGGCTAAGCTAACCTCACTCAGAATGATGTTCTCCAGTTCCATCCATTTACTTGCAAATGATAACATTTTGTTCTTCTTCATGGCTGCATAAAATTCCACTGTTTTCTTGATCCATTTGTCAGTAGTGGGGCATCTTGGCTGTTTCCATAACTTGGCTATTGTGAATAGTGCCGCAATAAACATGGGTGTGCAGGTGCCTCTGGAGTAACCTGTGTCACAGTCTTTTGGATATATCCCCAAGAGTGGGATTGCTGGATCAAATGGTAGGTCTATGTTTAGATTTTTAAGAAGCCTCCAAATTTTTTTCCAGAGTGGTTGTACTAATTTGCATTCCCACCAGGCAGTGTAAGAGTGTTCCTTTTTCCCTGCTCCTCGCCAACACCTGTTGTTCGTGGTGTCAATAAACATATTTTGAGTCTTCCTGCATGCTGACCTCTGCACTGTGAGCTGGGGAAACAGGGAAAAAGAGGAAACTATTTCCCGCAGAGCTCCTTATGGTCTACTGGGGAAGAGGGCCAGGAGGTGGGCAGAGGATGTGGCTGAAGTCCTTCAGACCTGCCTTTCCCAGGAAGGGCTCCCAGGCCAGGTATTAGAGAGCTGGAGGAACCCAGTGTGGATCGAGGTGTGTGATTTGGGAAAGGTGGCCTCTGAGTGTTGAAGGTGACTGAGAATGTTGGTGACAATGATGAAGAGAATGCAGATACTTCTCGAGTAACTCTTGTAGAGTGCTTACTGCCTGCCAGTGGCTTTCAGTGTGGTCCTCAGGCCAGCAGCGTCTGCATTGGCTGGGAACTGGTCAGAAATGCCTCCGCTTAGGCCCCATGGCAGCTCTGCTGAGTGGGGGTGGGGCCCAGCACTCTGCTGTAGCAAGCTCTCCAGAGGATTCTGAGGCACCTTGTCTGTAGTAACTCATTTAATGTTCACAACAACTTTCTGAGGTGGCTACTGTCATCTTCATTTTGCAATTGAAGAAACTGGGACAGAGTGGTGAAGTTGAGAACTGAACCTACTAGCATGGTTACAGGCTGCTTAATGGCATGGATATGTTCTGAGAAGTATGTTGTTAGGTGATTTTGTTGTTGTGTGAACATAACAGAGTGCACTTACACAACTCAGCTGGTATACATCAGCGGCGTGGCTCTCGATATGCACAGCAGACTGTTTTCCAGTAAATGGTTTTTTTTTTTGGTGGTACTGGAGTTTGAGTTCAGGGCTTTGTGCTTGTAAGGCAGGTTCTCTACAGCTTGAGCCACACCTCCAGCTACTTTTTCTCTGGTTCTTTTGGAGGTGGGGTCTTGCTTTTTGTCCAGACAGCCAGGACCATACTCCTATTTTAAGCTTTCGCTGTGACTTGGATGATAGGTGCATATCACTGCATCCAACTGTTGGTTGAAATGGGCTCTCATGAACTTTTTGCCCAGGGTGAAACCACAGTCCTCCTGATCTCACCCTCCCAAGTACCTCGGATTACAACATAAGCCACCAGCGCCCAGCTTAACTTTTTTTTTGTTTTTAAGGTGTATACTCTAAAATAGCAATGAAAGTATAGTATTGTAAATACATAAGCTGGTAACACAGCCATTTATCATCATCCTTGAGTGCTATGCATCAGAGCGGTGCCTCTGTCAGACTGGCTGCACAGTAGACCTGTTTATACCAGTGTCACCACTCACACATGATGTGTTGTACTATGATGTTATGAGGGCTGTGATGTCACTGGCAATAGGAATTTTTCAGCTCCTTATAATCTTAGGGGAACACTGTGGTATATATGAACACTTCATTATGTGACATATAACTATTTCTCACTCCAGAGAGGAAGGTGACTTTTTTTTTTTCTCTTTTGCTATGCTATACTAGGGTTTGAACTTAGGGTCTCATTCTTGCTAGGCAGGTGCTCTACCAATTGAGCTACTCCCCCAACCCTCTTTGCTGTAGGTTATTTTTTGGACAGGGTCTTGCCCTTTTTGCCCAAGGTAGCCCTCAGACCACAATCTTCCTACCTACATTCTTACATAGATGGGGGTACAGGCATGAATCACCATGCTCAGCTTATTTGTTGAGATGGAGTCTCACTAACTTTTTGCCTAGGCTAGCTTCAAATCATGATCTTCTCTTCCCAAGTGGCTGGTATTGTAGGCACGAACCAGTGCTTCTGTCCCTGGAAAGTGACTTTGGTGCGTGGCTCATTTTTAAAAGCACCTACCTCTCATACTCACTTGTCATACTGCCTCACCCTACCATGTGCTTTCATGAGACGCTCTACTGGTGTGACACAGTTATGATCTCTCTAATTGCCTTGACAAGAACATCCAGCTGGACCTGCCTTCTCTTGTGGATACGGCACATCCACTCCTTGTTTATCCCCAGTGCTCTGCTGAGTCAGCATAACCTCCTAGAAGGCCTTTGCCACCTCCCACACTGTCCTTTCTCCTCCCACAGAGGCCTTTTCATTGCAGCTGGAGTTTATCTGGTGTGCCGCACGTGCTGGTTCACGTGCCAGTCCTGCCAGCACACTGCTTCTTGTGGGGGGCTGTACCTCACTGTTCCTGCCTCGCACACAGTAGGCATCTAGTAAATGTTGGATGAATGAGTTAAATCAATGCCTGAATTTTTAGTAGGAGTAAGACTGTTCAAAGCTCTGTTTTAGGAAAGGAAACTTTGACAGCTCAGTGGAACAAAGATTGGAAGGAGAGAGACCAGCATCGGGGGTCCAGGTTAAGGGTAGACGACAGAAATATCAGCAAGGAAACAGATGCAAGAAGTGCAGGGAAGATGCAGAGTTCTTGGGGAACAAAACAAGTAGATGTTTTTGAGATTGTCCAAGGCATCAGTTGATTCAAGGAGACAGAAACTACTTCAGAAATATCTGGACTGGAGGGACAGGTTTCCCATTAGTTATCTGCACATGGTACACATGTGAGCAGGGCAGCCCTGGGAGAACACAGAAAAGGGAACAAGAAATTACTGGTACCTACTATGCACTAGCCACTGGCATTTTCATATTCACCCTCAAGATAGCATGTCTCTCTCTCTCTCTCTCTCTCTCTCTCTCTCTCTCTCTCTGTCTCACAGTGTGGGGATCTAACCCAGGGCCTGGTGCATACCACGTACACACTCTACCATTGAACCACATCCCCAGTCCCTCATTTTTCTGTTCACTATTACTTAACCCCTACCGCTTTACCTACACTGCCCACAAACCTCTTGTCATGCCTCTAAGCCTGTCTGCCTTGAGAGCCCTTCTTTTACCTGTCTGCCTGGTATGTGCTCACCATCCCTCCGCAACTACACCTATGTATACACCGTCCTGCTATGGAGAGAGGTGCTAATGAGTGAGGGCTCTTTTTAAATCACATGAACCTGATGCCCACAGAAGCTCCTGTGTGGCCTCTGTTCCCTGTTCTCTACTAGAATGCCCTGTTTGAGATACCACACACTTCTTAATGCTCTGTAACCTACTTGAAGACTGCAGGAAATTCGCCTGGAAGTTTTGAAGGAGCTGCTGAAGAGGCGAGAGGAGAATCAAAAGGAACTGAATCTGAAACGCTTGAATGCGAAGTGGTGTAGACTGCAGGAAGCAAAAGAAGCAAAAGTGGCACAAATCCAGCGCAGACACGTGTCAAGTAAGGGTGTGGTGTGAATGAGGAAGGAAATGGAAAGGGGATTTTGCTTTGGGTCTTTGACCGAACCTGATTCTGCTATGATGTATTTCTGTCTTGGTGGTGGTATAACAATTGTGTTAGGGATGAGAGTGAGTTATTATTCAAAGGTGGTAGAGTGGAGGAAAATCAGATCCCTCTCTCAGAAAATCAAGTGACTGTTCTAACAGGTAGTCAAGTATTGACGTTAGGATATGTGCACATGTGTGCTCCGTTGGGTTCTCCATATTCGTAGGTCAAGGCCCTGGGTAGAAAGCCTATTGTTCACCTTTTTTCCCCATATTTCCCCCAGTGGTAACATTTTAGACATTTTTTTCCTAAATGCCTCTTCAAGAAATTTTAATACCACAGGTCCTTTGTATATATGTTTTTGTAGTATATATACATTTGCACTTTATACATAGGAAGGAAGTATATACCTTAATCTTTATGCAGTACTAGATTAAGAATGACTAAATAAAAAACTCAAGTTAAAATTATCTTAAAAATTAAAAATTTTAATGTTTAATTTAATTTTATAGCTTTATTTCCTAAGTTAAAAACTTGTATCATCTACATACATACACAAATTAGCAATCCATATGCACACTCAATAGCAATTTCATCACATTTAAAAAGTCATTTGAAACTTAATTTTCCAGCAAAAGTAAAATGATTACAAAAATTAAATTATCAATTAAAATTTACTTTTAGTGAACTTAACCTTTAACTGTTTTCTTTCTTCAGATTTACTTTTTAATGTTTTTATTAGCATACATTAGTTGTATGGGGGGAATTCATTGTGACATTTCCATATGTGTTTACAATGTATCTTTGTTAGATTCACCCTTCCATCATTCTTCCTCATCCCTCTATCCTCCATCTTTGAACAATTCAGCATGTCTCATGGTTCTATTTTCATGCAAGTATATAAAGTACTTCAACCCTGTTCACCCTCCTTTAACCTCTCCATTCACCTTCCCCCTCCCACTGGTCCCCACTCCCAAACAAAACCTCTTTTATCTTCTTGTAACCTTTAACTTTTTTCTGGATGTGAGAAAATAACTTTTAACTTAACTAGCTGCAAGGTATTCCTTTAAGATATTGTTGACACTTTTTTAGTGTTTGATATCACTAATGATAAACTTGACCAACTTGTATAGATAAGTAATAAAATCCAAACTATTTGTACTTAATTCTGACACACTAAGTCCCACACAAGCACTGGGAGTGAGACATAAACAATGCCTGTCAAGCAGCAGTGGCTGGCTGGCTCTCCCGCACTGTGACTTCAAAGTCCTGTGATGTGAGTTCACATCCATTGAGAGTGCATCATGTGGGGCTGTCTGGGGAGAGTGGAAAGCAGAGCAGGTGGAGGTGGTAAGCATGAGTCCATAGGCGAATTCTCCTATGCACAGTGGAGTTCTTTCCCTCTGCAAAGAACTTGGAAGCTCTAAGCTGGGGCATCTTCTGATTTTCCTGGTGTTAGCCAAGGTAGAACTGTATTCTTCTCTGTTAATTATCCATGCCTGGGAGAACCCTTTCCCTAGCATTCCACCGAACATGTACTTTCCATTTACTTTTAGTTGGTTTTGTTCATTTAACAAACTTTCATGAAATATTTCTTCTTGGCCCAAGGCTTGTAAAAGCCTGCAGTTATAAAATATTTTTGATGAGTACCAGTCGAGATTCTAGCTGAGTCAGCTTCTGCCACTCCTGCTTGTCTCATGACATTCTCAGCCACACAGATGGCTGACCTCTGCTTTTAGTGTTCCATTCTGGTTCAGTTCGTCACCATGAAATTCATTCAGTTCAGTAGCTTCCCCATGAATAAAATTAGAACTGTTTTACTATTCTGCATCTATAGTTCCTAACAATATTTTGGAGATAGTCATAGAGGTATGTTTTATTTCAGCAATCAGAAGACTTGAAGGGAAGGTAAAGAATGTAGAAGGGAAGTTGGAGAGAAGAGATATCATCAGGGATTACTCTGATTATGCATCACAGGTCTACGGACCTCTGTCTCGCCTTGGCCGCTTCCCAGACAACAACTCAGAGGACTTTGTAGTGAAAAACCACTACCTTAACACCTATGAAGGTAAAAATTTACATAATTAGTAATCAAGCCTAAGAGTTATCTTAGACATATGGATTAAGTGTATAAATTCAACAAAATATTTGTAAGAAACACCAATGAACAGGTTTAATATACTTATTAGTATGAGTTCAGACAAACCAATAAAACTACTAAGACTCAAAGAATAAATGAATTTACTATAGAATTTAACTTAGCAAAATGTAAATTCAGTTATCTACTAATCATTTAAAAATGCTAGCCGGGTGTGGCAGCATGCACCTGTGTTTCCAACTGCTCAGGAGGCTGAGGCAGGAGAACCACTTGAATCCAGGAGTTTGGGGCCAGCCTGGGCAACAAAGGAAGAACCCACCTCAAAATAAATAAAAATTTAAATTGTTTAATGTCATTAGTGATCAAACTTAGGCAAAAATGAAATAGGAAAAACTTTTATACCAGCTTTATGAAGCAAACAAGAAGTGTATAATGAAATCAGCCCTTTTCAAAATAATGTCAGAAAACTAGGAGGCAACAGATGGATACCAGGTGATTGAATTCATGGAGATGACTATGTCTTTTATGAAGAGCAAGATGATGATTTAAATCATGTAAATTTCAGTTCACAAATTGAAGCATCACATGACCAAGATGACATCATTGGAGTTGCTGCTCTGGCTGGTGATATCCAGAGAAGAATATGATAAATTCAGACATAGCGGATCAAAGGATCATCCATTTTATGTTGAATATTATTATGGATGTATTCCTTTTTGTCGGACAATATTTTTGTCTTAGAATATCTTTCTCATTTTATTCTCTCAGCACATACACAAATGTGCTTACATTCCAGGGGACAATTCAGTTTATCTCTTATGTGACATATATCTTACTAACAACTCCAATGAAGTCACTTGACAAACAGCTACTAAAATTAACAGTGTACTCTAAAAATGGTAAACTGCATCCTAAATCATGTACTTCTTTCCCACAGGATTAGTTGAACTAGAGTCTTGTCTCCCAGATTTTGTGACACAACCAAGAATCAAACCTCCAAAACCAAAAGTCATTACCACCAAAGTTGGTCTTCTGAAGAAGACAACAAGGATGGACTATGAGCTGGCTGAGATTCATAAGGTATAATCTTTTCCTGGACAAGACTTTCCAGTGTGACATCTGCAGAAATGCTTAAGTCCCAAAATTTCACTTTGTCTTGGGCAGCAGTGACCATGGGTCTAACATGTCACTGTTAAGAGACACTGTGCTGAGATACACAGATTTCTAGTATTAGGGAATCACTGTCAGTGTTAATAGTAGTAATAGGCTCCATTCTGTCCCTTTCATATTTGTTATCAGGGCACCATGAATAGAAGGGTCATGTTGAACTCCTTTCTCATCTAGTTTAAAATTCAGTGAGAAAGTTTAATGGCCATCCAACCTTCAGGATCATAGATTACCAGGGCGGGCTTGCTAATGCCCTAGCATTTCCACTTCAGTAGGTCTGGGCTGAGGCTTCTGGAGGAAGTAGATTAAGATTTTGCTTCTGTAGTCATTAGGGAAATGTGTTCCTGTTTTTCTCTCTCATTTTGATTATGTATAGGGTTGGTGTCAGGCATGTCTCCTGAAATGAACAGGGGAGCGTTCTTTTTTTTCCTTTTCTTTCGAGGAAAGGTTTAAAGGAATGTGATGAACTATTCCTTCAGTTTGGAAAATATAAACTCAAATGATATTTTCATCATAGGAAAATTTTTAGCTACTAAAATTTCTTTACAGCTTACATAACTTTTTGCATCAGTTTATATTCTGTTTAGAGATTTCATTTTAACTTTTTAATTTTTTTTTGGTACATGGTAGTTGATAGTAGTGTTTTATAATCTTTTAAATATTTGCTTTATCTGTGATCATGTCCAGCTTTTTCATTTGTAGAATTATTTATTGGTGCCTTAACTCATTTGTAGAATTATTTATTGGTGCCTTAACTCTTCTTAGGTTTACTAGAACTTGCTTATTTTCTTGGTATTATTTTCCCAATGGACATGGCATCCTGTGGGCACAGTGCCTGGAAATGGGTGATAACCAGAAATGAGTAATGACTAGCACAGGCCCTGGGACGGGATCCCAGAATTGCCTACTGGGACGCTTGTCTAATACCGCCGACCTGGCAGAGAGCTGGCTAGTCAGAGGGAAGCTCCACATGGCAAATGGCTGGGACCTACTGGGGAGTGGGAGCCCTTCCTGTGGGGACAGAGCTACTGGGAGTATAGAGCCTGCATGGGGGTGTGCAGCTGAGACCCATCAGCCTGAGGTGTGATCACTACACCTGCAGTCCCATCACACAGGAGATGCTACTAACAGACCTTTCCCACCAGAAGCAGGCTGTGAGTTGGCCAGGGAAAGAGGCCATTGAATGGTTTGTGCTGAGACCACACTATGGAATCCCATCTGTACAGACCAGGGATGGTGGCCCATACCCATAATCCCAGCTACAACAGAGGTGGACAACAGAGAGGACCATGACTCAAGACCAGTCTGAAGAAAAAAAAAGATCAGCCTGAGCAAAGAGTAGCCATGTGTGGTCATGTGGCTGTAATCTCAATTACTCAGGAGGTGGAAATATGAAGATCTATGTCCTAAACCAGCTCCAGGAAAAAAAAACAGGAGACCCTATCTGAAAAATAACTAAAGATAAAAAGTGATGGGTCTGTGGCTCAAATAGTTGAGCATCTGCCTAGCAAGTGCAAAGCCCTGGATTCAAACCCCAGTACTACCAAAAGACAAACCAAAAAAATCCACATTTTTCCCCCTTTTATTTCCTCTTTTCTTTGACAGATTGTTTTTCTATAGAGATCAGTTTAATACTCTGATCAGTTAAAAATTTTATATTTTTTATCCTTTTTATATAATTTATTTCCCCCCCCCTTTTTTTGCTTTTATACTTCCCTATACCATTTCTCTAGTCAACATCTAATTTCTTAGATCTCTTTTGACCTGCTTGTTTTTCTTTTTTAGTAGCTGTTGTTATTTTTTTTTATGTAGTTTTATTTTTTCCTCTGTCTCTGAGATGGTCTCTCCCACAAGGCCCAGCCTGGGCTTCCAGTCTCCCTCCCTCAACTTCTGACAGGGACTTGCAGATGTGACCACCCTGTCTTCAGTAGATCAGGTTTCTCCAACCCTTATTTTCTTTCATTCTCTATTTCTCCTTCTGCAAATATTCTTTATTGACATTGTTTTTGGCTGACTGTCTCCTGGACTTTATTATTAACATTTCCCTCTTCTTTTCACTTTCCCACTTCACCTTTAGTTGGATTCTATCTGTCTATTCCCTTCTTTCTCATCACTGCCCTGTTTACTTCCCCTCTCCTCTTTCCAGTTGTAGGTCTCTATGTTTCTGTTAGTATTCACTACAACTGTTCCTCTCATTTTCTTTCCATTCCTTGTTAACTAGTATATTCTAAATTCACATAATACTAAACTGACTCCCTTATTCTCTAGGGTTTTTGGAGTTGTAGTGATGATTATTTTTAGTTAGTTATCACTATACTTTCACAATAGACCTATCTAACAATTGTGAGCTACATGAAGCTAGTTTACTTATCTTTGAGAAGTGATGGGGATCAGGCCCAGTGCCTGAAGCATGTTGGGCAAAGGTTTCTCTACTGAGCTACACTCCCCAATATGCTGATGAGAAACTGTACCTCAGTCTTGCCACAATCTAGTCCTGCCTGAACATTGTGAGTACTTCACCTGATGGAATATATGACATTGAATCTCCAAGCAATGGCTTGGCCCCAGTGATGCAAATCCCAATGCAGAAACACAAGAAATATGAAAAAATAAGTCAGCGTGACTCCTCCAACAGTCAAACATGCAACAATAATGAGCACTAGTGTTAGTGAAGCAGATGAAATCCCAAAGAATTTAAAAGAAAGATCAATGAAATCAAAGAAGACATGAATAAGCACCTAAATGAATTAAAAGAGAATGCAAATAAACAGCTGAACAGAATAAGAAATATAATGCAACATATGAAAGGGGATTCAATAGAGAGAAATTCTGAAAAAACATCAAATTGAAATTTTGGAAATAAAAAACTCAAAAAATCAAATTAAAAACTCAGTTGAAAGCCTTACCAATAGAATGGTATAACTAGAAAGTAGAGTTAGCATTAGCAAGATCTCATCTCAACAAACAAGCTGAGCATAGTAGTACAAGTCTGAAACCTCAGCTATGTGGGAGGTATAGGTATTAGGATTTCAGTCCAAAGCTAGCCCCAGGTAGGAGCATGAGACCTTATCTGAAAAATTAATGACAGCAAAAAGGGCTGAGGGCATGGCTCAAATTGTAGAGGATTTGGGATCCTGAGTTTAAGCACACATACCACTCCCACCAGAAAAAGAATGGATCAAGTAAAAAAAGAATATCAGGGCTTAAACATAAGGTAGATGAATTAGAATATTTAGACAACAATAAAGAAAAATAAAGTATGAACAGAACATACAGGACCTCTGGGACACCCTTAAAAGACCAAATCTATGAATCATGGGCATAGAAGGAGAAGAGATATAAACTAAAGTCCAACAAAATAACAGTAAAAATTTCCCAAATCTTGGGAAAGAGAAGGTTGTATAGGTACAGGAGGTTTTTTATAACACCAAACAGACAAGGTTGGAAAAGAACATCTCCACATTATACTATACTTAAAATATTAAGCATACACAACAAGGAAAGAAATTGAAAGTTGTGAGAGAGAAACGGCAAGTCACATATAAATGCAAAACCATCAGAGTAACATCAGATTTCTCTCCAGAAAGTCTAAAAGCCAGAAGAGCATGGGATAGGTATTTCAAGCCCTGAAAGAAAATAGCTGCCAACCTAGACTATATCCAGCAAATCTATCCTTTATAATTAAAGAAGAAATTAAAACCTTGTATAATAACAAAAACTAGAGGATCCATGACCTCTAAGCCAGCTCTGTGGAAGATACTTAAAGGAATCCCACAAACAGAAGAAAAAGATAAACATAACCTTGAGGAAAGGGGAAAGAATGAATCTCACAGAAAAGTAGAAAAGCAATTAAGGATTAGGAAAGAACCAAACACTATTAAAAAAAAAACAACAAAATAATAGAAAATGATGCATACTTTTCAGTGATGATCTCAGTTTTTCAATGAGAAGAAACAGACTGGTGGACTGGATCAAAAAAACAAGACCCAATTGTTTGTTTCCTACGAGAAACACACCTCAATGGCAAAGATAAACACAAAGTTAAAGTGAAAAGATATTTTGAGCAAATGGAACCCAAAAGTAAGCAGTAGTAGCTTCACTCATATTTAACAAAGTAGACTATAATCCAAAATTATTCAAAAGAGACAAGGATATATCATTGTAAACATGTACACCCTGACATCGGTAACCCAATTAAACAAATACTACTGGTCATAGAAGCTCTGATAGAGCTCAATACAATAATAATGAATAATTCAATACCCCACTCTCACAAATTGATAGATCATCCAGCAAAAAATCTACAAAGAAACTTGAGCATTAAATGGCACTTTAGAACAGGTGGACTTAACAGACTTCTACAGAATATTCCACCCAACAGCTGCAGAATTCTTCCCAGAAACTCATGGAACTTTCTCTAAAACAGGTCATATTTTAAAACATAAAGCAAGTCTTAACAAATATAAGACTATTGAAATGACTTTTTGTATTTTATTAAGCCATAATGGAATAAAACTAGAAATCAACAGTGAGAGAAACTACAGAAAATACACACACAAAGATTATACCATACAGTTTAAAATAGTCAGTGGGTCATAAAGAAATTTAGGAAGGATAAAAAATTTCCTGAAGCAAATAAAAATTTAAATGCAACATGCCAGAACCTATGGGATACAATGAAAGTGGTTCTAACAGGGAGTTTCATGTTTAAATTCCTACTTTAAAAAAATCAGAGAAATCACAAATAAATTACCTAAATGATGCACCTCAAGGTCTTAGAAAATCAGGAACAAGCTAATCCCAAAAGTACAAGGAAAGAAATATAAAGAACAGAGCTGAAATTAATGAAATAGAAACTAAAAAAATGCAATGAATCAATGAAACTGAGAGTTGATTCTTTGAAAGAACAAATA